AAACTGTGAAATGTGCTTGTCCCGTTTTCAATCGCGTGGGTGTTAGGTTCAACAATTTTGGTTCTGTCAAGTCAGTAAAGATCTATCATTTCAAATGTATATTTTAAGTATTAAATGTATATGTAAAACAGTGTTTTTCTTTTATTTATTTTTTTTTATTTGTAAAACTGAAAAATATACTTATGACCCAGTTTTTGACATCCTGAAGTATTTCCGGCACTTCTCATCCAATTTTTAAAAACCTAAAGAATCTGGCAGCCTTCATATTTTGTGGGAATGTGTGTTTCTTACCAAAAACCTAAGACACTGGGCGATACCTAATCTTCAGCGATTTTTTGATCTATAAAACTAAATAAATAGTGAAAGATGCAAGAATATGCGAGAGCATGGATTCCCGCTTCAAATGAGCGCCTTTAGTTATTATTCAATAACGGCAGTGGGTACTGACTACTGGGGGTTTATTCTAGTGTAAAAATTGTAATTTTATGAATCTCTTCACAGTAATAGAAAAGTATTATTATATATCAAATATTACAACTAAATCTTATATGAACTGGTTTTGAGCGAGTGTTGATGTTGAAATTTGTCAATTTATAGAATCTTTTTTCACCGTTATAATGTAATATAATAGTTTTTTGGGTTTATAAACTCAGCGATGAGCCCATCGACGGAATCGTAAATCCATCAGATTGTCTATAAACTCATGTGTTAGATCAGAGGTCTCCAAACTACGGCCCACGAAAGTTTCTTCGATTACATTATAAAATTTGAAAAACTACTTAGAATTATTAAATTTAGCTAATTACTCACTGATGTTACTGCAACAATTATTCCATAGGTTTTTCAATCTTGAAAGCTTATGTCACAGCTGAAGTGTCGTTTATTGAACAAGACTTTTTTTCCAATACATGCTATCGTCCGCGGAACTTAGTCGAGGTCTCAATGTAGCCCGCGGTTCAACAAGTTTGGAGACGAGACCCTTGTAATAGATCACCGATCATCTATTGTTCCGTCTGCTATGAGCAAGTTTCTTAACTCGACGCTAATTCCATCGATTCAATACAGTAATTGATTGGATCTAGAACCGATAGACAATGGGGGGAAAAATAATAGTCAAAACGTAAGAAGATTTTCAAATCAGGAGGTTGGGATTAACAAATCCAGATTTTTTTCTAAATAAGATATGAGCATTGTTAAACCAAGTTTTTTGATGAGACATATTTGAGTAGTTAGTGGTAAAATATCTATCTGCGTAACGTTCGTTCGTACTGAAAAATGGGTTTACAGTAGGTAGTGTCATTATCGAAAGAACAATCGTAAAGTGAGAAAAGCCAAGTTAAGTTCCTAAAGTGAGCATTAGTCAATTGAAAGAATCCAATAATCGATTGAATTTACCACCAATAAACAGACTAAGTTTAGGAACGGTCTGGTGGATTCAATCTATGAATTAAATAGATCGCTGAATTCCATTTATAGATCCATCGATGAGTTTCTCAACGGCTTTCTGATGCCCATCAATGAGCTCAACGCTGATTTTAGAAACTTGTTCCCAAAAATGCCGTTACAGGAAACAAAAGATACTGATAATTATCAAATGTTAACTCATTTTACCGTTAGTAAAGATTGGAAATTATAAATTAGTCATACTTTGCGGCTCCTAGACTAACGATAACGTTTTATGCTCCGAAATTTCAATTTTTTAATTTACTTTTATCTCCTTTATCAGTTAATCCCAAAACTTGATATTTTACAAATTCAAGCTTATTTGTTTCCAAACCCAGACTTGCAACTAAATGGTATCTTTTTTTTTTAAGATAATAAATAAAAACCATCACTAAAACAACATCGTTTAATGTTAAAGGAGTTTTAACATTTCTCAAGTATTTAGTTTTAGGTCTAATATTATGAACTCCCTCGAAAGGAGATGGCCCCGTGATCTCCTAATGTGGACATATCATTAGAGTACTACCATTGGGTAGTTACTCAGCAAGTGTCTCATGTCATTATATCCATATGTTCAAATTTACTAGATGTATTTATTTAATACAGTACTAAATGTCATTAAGAAATAAAAAAAAAATATCAACCAAAATTCCTCTTTATGCTATTATTACTTCATTGTAAGCTAAAGGATACTATACGTATATTTGTTTTGAGTTAGAACTTTAACATTTGATATGTACTTTAAAAAAATCAAATTATTTACGTATTCTAAATAATTTTCCATTTCCTTACTTTGTTATGATTCTTTTCGCATTTCAAATCCTCCTCCGAAAAAAATGACATTTCCCATGTTCCGTCAGGCCCTTTCTAAATCTGAATTATAAAGTACACTATTTTTTGTAAGTGGATATCCGTTTTAAGTGGTAGCCTATTGTCAAAATATCACGCACGTATACCTACCCTATTAACTCTGATTTAATTTATGAAATGATAAGAATGACACCTTTGATTGAAGAGGAAGTTTTGTTCCCGTGGGTTACATTAAGCCAATCTTATCAGCGGAAGAGATCGATTTAAGGGTGAACAGCCTCTATGCTCGTCAATCTTTGACAGGTCCATTTGTATTGTTATTGATTCTTCCGTCATAATCACGAGTCATTAGAATTTCACCTAAATATGGCCATTATTACAGAAAAACTGTAATAAATTAACTTAATTTGTTAGTTTTCTGACGCAACACAGTTTACCATAGCTCGACGAATAAAAAACAAAAAAAGGATCTTTTATACATTTATATCGCCGGTTTATTACAAAAAGTTCATCCTTTATGTCCCAAAACTTTTAAATACGTATTTATAAATTTAGACATAGGCGGATCTACGAGTTGAAGAGGGAGAAGGCTTTCGGACTGAAGCTCTCCAAAATGCATTTTTTTTCAATGGTTTATTTTGTTACTGTGATTATTCTAAGCTAATTATTTCAACAATTACAATAATGGATTTACAGCTACTAAAATAAAACCATGGCTTATGAAATGTTTTTTAAAAAATTATCTCTGATAGTATTTGTTAGTGTAATTTCTTTTTTAATAGGACTAAAAGAATCACTTAAACAACATATCATAGTTAGTTACTTTCGTTTTCTTTCCAAGTAATTATCGTTATATATATTAATAAAAGCTTTTGGGGTGTTGAAGCCAACCCCACCCAAAAAAAAAAAAAATTAAATCCTGGATCCGCTACAGAATTTTTATAATATTTATCGATGTAAAAACTCATCAAATTGATAAGAATAACTCAAACCCCATTAAGTATGTATTAAAAATAGTTACACCTAGTGCATTACATTCATTTTCACAGAAAGAAAATTCATCTAATTGCTTAGTGATTTAATTTGAAAAAAAATGTTACTCAATGACTTTTTGCAATTAATCGATACTAGCGAATTCAGGATTACATTTTGCAGGCCTTTTTTTTTTTTTTTTTTTTTTGAAGATGAAAAAAGAAAGTAAGTATATAAAATGATAACATTCCATGATTGACTATTGAGGGGAAAAAACTACTTACATTTAGTAGCTGAATTATAATTTTAAAGCATTGCATAATTCTATGATTAATTATTTACCGCAGATAACCAACAGAAACAAATATGAACCAATAAAAAAAGTATGTTTTTCCATTTTTCGGAAGGGGCTTCAGCCAAAGGCTCCCTATGGATCCGCTAGTGATTGACAATATAATTAATTCTTAAAAAAGTTTATTGTAATGCATCACTTTGTAAGTAAGAAGGACATTTTTTTTTTCTAATTTCAGAGAAAAATATCGTGACTTTATTACAAAAAGCCATTAAGGCAAATTTCATTAAATTAAATCATTTAGTACTTACATGAATTTTCTCTCAGTTAAATCACAGAATTATGCACTTATTGTAACAATTTTTGATCTATAACAAGATCTGTGCCATTTTGATGCACTGTTTTTTCATCAATAAATAAAGTCTAAAAAACATACTTAAAAGTAAGTACCATCTTAAATGAACTCATTAACTTTTTTGGGAGGATTTTATTTTCTTGATATATGGTTATGATTGTGAATAATTGGAATTGATATGAAATAAAGGAATCAAATTAGTGATAATTCTCTCAAATACAATTTATAATTTACTTCAATTAAAAATGATGCAACAAAGTTTCTATGGAATTCGATATAATGAATAGAACAGAAATAGAAATCCTGCATTAGATAAATTATGTTGTTTAAAAAACAATAAGTCATTCATTGCCAGAAAAAGAAAAAGGCATCATTTATTACTTAAATGGTGGTGACTATTCATTTTATGGTTTATTCAGTTATTTAATTGATTTTTTGTTGAAAAGAATAAAAAACATGTAATTTTTGGTTTTGGCTTGTTAAGTGTAATTTATGTTGAACCTTGTCGGTCGTGTCCTGTATCAACTGGTTCTCATTAGGGACTGCAAATTGCTAAATTTGTTCATTGTTGATCATCCGCTACTTCCTTCATGCCACTTTTTATGCTAGTATGGTTACACATAAAGGAAATCCTAACTTTTTTTTTATATTACGGTATGCAACCTCAATAACAATTTCGAGTTGTTAACAACATGATAAAAAGCTATCTTCAATATTAGGTTGTAACGATTCATTATTTTAATATTTTGTTCTTTTATTTTAATATTGAAATTACAGTGCAAACGACACTTTAAAAAGAAATACAAAAGATTAAAAATTAGAAATATAATGAAGAATATAAAATAAACATAAAAAATAAAAATAGAATAAAATCATTACAAAAATTAAAAGTAATATTCACTTATTAAATACAAGTATAAAAAAAATCAATTTGATTGCTGATTTGATATTCATAAATGATTTAATATAGCATTGATCTCTCATTTTATGATTCTCCTTAAGTTTGAATGGTTAATTTTCTCTAAATTTTATATGTTTTAAATGGTTTGAGTTTTTTTTTTTTAAATATTATTTTATATAGCTCTTAAGCTACTTATATTTTTTCTTAGTAATTTGTTTTTCCTATTTCAGAGAAGAAGTGGAGGACCACAAAGTAAAATGGGGAGCTAAATTTGAATTTGTTTGCAAGATGAGTGCCAATGCTTCCACAGGAGTGCTTGACCCATGTATGCTGAGGGTATCTGTCAGAAAGGTATAATTACTATTCATATTATATAGTTATTTTGGATTTTTTTAAGTTTCATGTTTGGTTTCAGTCTGTTTTTAAAAATTTAAAACTCTTTGAACAGTATTTTAAATTTAAATAAAGTAAGTCATACTAGGAAATGAGTAATGTTTATAATGTATATATTATTATGTTTCCACAACAGTCCTTAAAAGAAACAAGCTTCCCCCAGACTTCCCTGCAGCTGTTCTCCCTCTTATTATACCCATACAGTCGATTTCTTCTTCTACATCTTCATTGATTCATGAATACATAGAGAATTTTCCATAGCAACCTATCTTCCTTTATCCAACGTGGGCTAGCCTATACCTGAAGGTGTGGAGATAATAGAATAGACCCACATTGTTTCACCTTATGTTATAAAAGGTGACTTAAGGAGCAACTGTCCGTTGACTTTAATACTCTTTCCTTCTTATCATCTACCTATTACTGATCATGTCCCTCCTTTTTCCCTTTCTATCTCACCACCACTACCTTGAAGACTAAAACTATGTTCAAAGCTAAGGGAGTCAACCCTTACAGAAAATCCTTCTCTCAAAACTGGAGGTGGTCATATTGTCGGATCCATGTAACGAATGTGAGCTTGTTTAACGTTGTGCATTCTTTACTTTAACATGTTGCCGACGATGTGGCTAAGAACCCTACACCATTGAAAAAAATAATTGTTATGAATCAAAAATAATATTAATATATGTTTATAAATCCTATGTTGAACAAGCCAGGAATTTTATTTCTCAAATAAAAAAATTGGTAGAATTTCAATATCAATATTAAGACCTTAAAACATAATTTCACCTTCTATCTATATAAGCAGTTTATCGGCAGCACATATGAATACCAATAGGATGAATGGATTTTAAGTAATGTTTTTCAAACATTCTCTTACTTATGTCTGATGGACCAATTGTCATGGCTTTTACAACAAAGGATGTTCCTCCTTTTTATAGCCATTTCTGGCATGTCATGCTTTGCAGTATGCCTTAAAGTAATTATATAATTTTTTTTTTAGGAACTGAAAGGTGGCAGATCATTTCAAAAGCTAGGCTTCACAGACCTGAACTTGGCAGAGTTTGCAGGTTCAGGCCAGACCCAGCGGAAGTGCTTGCTAGAAGGATATGATACCAGAAGAAGGCAGGACAATTCAATGCTTTCAGTTACTATTAGAATGAATATGTTGTCCGGAGATGTACTATTTAAAGTGTAAGTTATTATTAATTTTATTTTTTATTTTTATTGAATTCTGAAATCTGTTTTGTATAATTTATTCACCGTTTCATTATAGATTATTCAAAAAGGATATTAACACAAGATGCTTTTGCGATAAATATACTTTAAAGAAATCATCATTAAAAAATAACCTAATCTGAATTGAATATTTTTTTTTAACTTTTTGTTTCGAATGAAAAATTCATTTTCTAAAAATTGGATATCCACTGAAAATAAAATATTGTTTTGATGTCATTTTGTAAGAATATTTAAATAGTTACTGCAAATTTTTAGTGTAGAGATATAGCCTGAAAAAGTTTACTGTAAAATTTAAGATGACTTTTGTCAATTTATTGGATTAAATTTAATATAATGTCTGAACCAGACAATGTTATATTTTGTCGGCATATGATAAAATGTACTACAATTTCAGATTTGAGTATAATTTTGAATTGCAATAATGGTTTTATCTCCGTTTGATAATAACTTCTTATTCTAAAATTCTGCACAGGAAAAAAAAAAATAGTTTTAGGAGACTACAATGCTAAACACCAACGATGGGGTTGTCGATCATCCAACTCCCGTGGTAACATACTATCTTCTGTCTCAACTTCCAATAGTTACTCTGTCCTCTCTCCTATGAATCCTACCTATTGGCCAACATCCCTCAAAAAACGCCCTGATATCCTCGACATATTTGTCACCTCCCAAATTTCCTCTTCCCATGTCACAATAAAATCCCTGGATGACCTCTCCTCAGATCATTCTCCAGTTCTGCTTTCATTACACACAACCTTCGCTCCTAAGCCCTCGTCCTCTTCTACACTGATTACAGGACGAGTAAACTGGGACAATTTTCGTAAAGACCTGGAAAATAAATTGGACCTAAATATTCCACTTAAGACGAAACGTGATATTGACACAGCCATAAAAGAACTTACTACATCTATAAGTGACAAAATAAAGAATAATACATCTACCAATAAAACTGACAACTCCCAACAGACAAATTTGCCGCAGCATATTCGTATCTTATTAAGGGAAAAACGCAGAGCAAGATCGAAGTGGCACAGGACTAGATATCCATCAGATAAGACATATTACAACAAATTAACTAACCAACTAAAAGCTGAAATTAGAAAATACAAAGTTCAAAATTTACATAACATGACAGAAAAACTTACTACTTGTGACAAATCACTATGGTTGACCACTAAAAAACTCCTTAAATTCAAAGATTTTAACCACCCACTTATTACTGAAACCCAAACCTGGTCCAGATCTGATGATGAAAAATCTCAAATATTTGCTCAACACCTCTCAAAAACATTTAATCCACACCCAGACATCCTTAATCCAACCCACCTTGAGTTTATTGAAGCAGAATTGGATACCCCACTCCAATTGACTCCTCCACCTAAAGCATTTCATCCTTCAGAAATATCCAATATCATTAATAGATTACCTTCTTGCAAAGCTCCTGGCCATGACCTAATCACCTCCCAGATCCTAAAATGTCTTCCTAAAAAAGCCATATTGTTCCTAACCTATATATTTAATGCTGTACTCCGCACCACATATTTTCCTGACTCTTGGAAACTATTCATTGTCAAAATGATACCTAAACCCACAAAGCCGCCAGAACACCCATCCTCTTACCGTCCTATCTCCCTTTTACCCATTATGGGCAAACTCCTGGAAAAACTCATTTTAAAACGCCTGTATCCCATCCTAGACTCTAAACACATTATCCCAGATCACCAATTTGGATTCCGCACATCCCACTCCACTATTCAGCAATGCCATCGTGTGGTAGATGTAGTCTCCTCTGCATTGGAGCGCGGAATGTACTGCACGGGAGTCTTTCTCGACGTTGAACAGGCGTTTAATAGAGTCTGGCATCCGGGACTGATGTACAAACTCCGTGAATTCCTACCACCTACATACTTCCTCATTATACGTTCCTACCTTACTGACAGATACTTCAAAGTCAATCATAACAATGCTTATTCATCTCTTTTTACTCAGTCTGCCGGTGTTCCTCAAGGTAGTATCCTAGGTCCTATCCTTTACACAGTTTATACAGCTGACATCCCAACCCAATCCAACACTGTCATCACCACCTACGCCGATGACACGTGTATCCTATCAGTTAATAACGATCCTTTAATTGCATCCCAAACTCTTCAATCACATATCACAAGCCTTGAAGAATGGTGTAAAAATTGGAGAATAAAAATAAATTCCAACAAATCCCATCAAATCACTTTTACCCTCCGTCGTAAACCTATGACCTCTTGTCCTACAGTATCCTTCAATAATACTCCACTTATTCCTGTTGAGCAAATCCGCTACTTAGGACTCCACCTTGACAAACGACTCACTTGGAACCCCCATACCAGACTGAAACGACTAGAAACCGCCCGACGTTTTCGACTACTGCAGCACTTACTAGACAAACGATCTAAGCTTTCAATCAATTATAAACGACTCGTATATATGACAATAATAAGACCTATTTGGACTTACGGAATTGAGCTTTGGGGCTCCACTAAACCATCGAATTCCTCTCGTATCCAATCCTTACAATCCAAAATCCTTCGTAAAATCCTCAACGCTCCTTACTTTGTCACAAATAAAATCATCCATAAAGACCTTAATGTTCCATATGTTTCCGATCTGGCCCAATCCAGATACCTTTCCTTCCATAACAAACTGCAGAATCATCCGAATCCTCTCGTTTCAAACCTTGCTTCCTCCTCGATCCCTGATAACCCTCCGAGGCGTCTGAAAAGAAGATGGCCTCGGGATCTTCTAATATAGAACTTTAATTTGAGTTCTACCAATGGGTAGTTTCTCTTCATGTTGTACATGCCATGTTACAAATTTCTCATTTACTTATTGTATTCTCTATGTAATACAGTTGTAAATTCCATTGAAATAATAAAAAAAAAAAAAAAATAGTTTTAAGTCTTTTTACATAAAATTCATATATTTCAAAAAATAAAACACAGGTCTAGTTAATTGATAGTAGTTTATGCATAGTATACATATCATAGAGTTTAGAGTTGAGTTAAGTTAATTTGAAAAATTATAATTATTAATTCTAATTAATTTTTAAAAAAAGTTTTACTACTAAGGTTTGTAGTAATTTTTTAATAAAAATGTTTACATTTGTTCCAAATCCTTTTAATTTCTTCTAAGAATTTCTAATTCAAAGTGTGTTCATGATTTACAAAACATCAAGTAGATTTATTTTATGATTATTTTCTTAAATAACGAAAATATGATTGGTTTAAAGATTATTTATTTACTTTTTATTTTGTTTAATGAATTTTTACTTTCAAAATCTACACAAGCATATTTATTTTAAAAAATTCTTTTGAGCAGCCCTTCACCAACAGCGAAACATAAGCTGATAAGTGGGGAGCCTACCGCAAATGAAGAGACTGTAGAGAGAAGAGAAGACTTTTCTGGGGGTTCGATTGCCAGTGCAAGTTCTGGTTTTAGCAGCCTCACAAAAAAGAGGCCACCTTTATTCACATCAGGTATTATTTCATCCAAATATCTGGAATTAGGAATTCTTAATAAATAATTTTGTTGAGTTTATTTCTAACATTTTCTATAGACCATTACTGCTTCTATGGTAATTAAATTTTACCTTAAAAAAATAATGTAAAGGTTTAAAAAGTTTATGTAAATGTTTTACTAAAAAATGCATGTTAATAGATGTTAATTTATAAATTAATGAGTAAATTGTAAAATTAAGCAATGCTGATTTTTCCTAGAAAAAAAGAATATCACCAAATAAATTCTAACATCTCCTGCTCGATCTGTGACTAAAATAAGTCAGATAGTTAATTGAATTAGTTTATTTTTACCCAATCATATGGTAACTTAGCCTATGTTGAATAGATGTTTCGATGTTTTGTGGTTGAAATATACTAAATCAGACTTCTTTTTTTTAACCTGTTGTAAAGTTGTGAGAATTATATTAGGCCAGTTTTTAAATTTATATGACGATATATAAGTAAAAATGCATTTCTTTAACATATTCAAATTGATTTTTATAGAGCTGGTAAGCGGAGAAAATGAAGAACCTGCTGCTGAGTCCTGTAGTGGTCCTCACGACGAAGGTCTTGAGCTTGGACATTCCCGTAATTCTTCCAACACAAGTCAACTAAGTAAAGGATCGGGTTATGGTTCATTGAACTCCCAGCATTCCCGGCAGAGTAGTAGTGGAGATTCTGGGCATATAAGGTGAACTTTTTGTTTTTTAATTTTTATCAATCATTTATTTAATTTAGTAATTATGAACTTAATTTCAGAAAAAGAGATTATATTTTATCTTTTCTTGACCAGTTCTCCTATTCTATTGTTTCTGAATACTTGTGGATACCGGGGATTCTAAATGAAATGTTAAAAGGCTTGTGTTCTTCTAGTCATTCTTTACTGCTGAATTTAAAGTGCTGTTCAGTTTTTTTTTCTTTATGGAGTTGAATTTTGATATAGTTATAATATTTATTAAGATGTTTAATAATCATAAAGAAGTACCTAGAAATTTTATAAATCTTTGTACTGGAGGATTGCCTGCCAAAATAGTATTGCTGTATTTATTGGACAGCACATAACTAAATAGCTGTATTTTAGGCTGTTGTAGATTCACTACACAAGATATCAATAAAGCTGATTTATTCTAAGGAATAGGTAGCCATATGAAAATTATAACGGTATCAGTTAACTTTAAAATTACAAAGTGTAAAGAAATACTTTCTCTTAAACTGCTATAAATTCTTAAAACTTTGTTCAATTTTTTATTTTTGATAATGAAAGTAGTGACCAAATATATTAATATGTGGAACTGGTACCTAATGATCCTCAATATTTTAAATATAAACTACAATTTTAATATAGAACTGAAAGTGGAGAGAAAAACACCCATTTCTTACATTAGGAAAAAATATCTTTAATTTAAAAATAAAGTTTAGTGACTGAAAACTGTTTAATATGTCTACAGTTTGATTGTTATAACATTTATATTTAAAGGTTTATTTATTTAATAAAGAAATAATTAAAATTAAAAAGATGAAATACAAATGTATTAAGAAAGGATACATCTCGATTAGAAAGGTTTAAGCTGATATCGTGAATTACTTGATTACAGAGAGGAAGATATGACTTGTACAAGATGGTTGGTGTTAGGATGGATTGAGGCATGAACATTGTATTGGTTTTATTTTGTATTTGAAAAATAAGTTCCTAAATTGTGTGTTGATATTTTTTTATATGTTCCATGGTTGCTCCAAAATTGTTTTATGTATGCTGGACTTTATTGTTTGCATTTTATTAAATTCTGTAGCTTTTGTAGGGAATCCAAAGTTCTGCTTTATTGATTCGAGACAAAATAATGTTTTGTTTTATAAATTAATTTGGCATCTCATACCAAGTAGCATTGCTAAGCTGTCATTGGTCCAAGTTTCATCCAACATAAAAAATTTTTAGATTTCAGATGTGCCATGCCACCTGACAACAGTTGATTTTCTGCATCATAAAATTATTTCAGTTAATTTTTTCAAGATGTAATCATTTTGGAAAATTGGAAGTTTTTACCTGTTTCCTATGACGTAACGAGAAAAGTAGAGAGAAATCTTTGTGAAAGGAAAGACATGTCATCGCCTAAATTTTAGTTTGTGAGGCATTGAATACTGTCTTGGTAGTAATTGTTTAACTGATGCTCTTCTATCAAGAAATTATTTAATACATTTAATTATAATGCATCTTCATTATTTTACTCACCTTAAAAAAATAAAATAGTAATTCTAATGGATGGATTTATATTTTCATTACTGTCTATATAATCCTAGCATTCCTTGATTTGATGAAAGCATCTTAAAAACTTATCTGTCTTCAACTTAAGTTTCGAACAATTTTTTAGAATGTCATCAGTATTAGCATTTATGTTTAAGACTCACTTCTGCATGCCATTTGTTTCCTTTGTGATTAATTGCCTAATAAATGTTGTAATAAAGCTCTAATTAAACAAAACAATCTGAGTGCAATTAATGAAATCCATTTTGGTAACAATTTTTTTTTTTGTATTATCAGTTATTGGCATTAATGGAAAAATATCTGATTTGTTCACAGCATGATAATAGCCGATCCAGGATATAATTTTAAGGAGGGGAGAATTTACAAAATTTGATTTATTATAATTGTATTTAAAGACCTGTAAAAAAAAATATATATATATAATAAATATAAAAATATATAGGAAACGAAAATGCTTTTAGCAATAAATGTTTTTTATAACTGCTATTATTTAGTAACTGTTGAAATGTTTTCAAAGTTAATTTAAAAAATTTACATATTGTGATTTTTGGTCAGAGCAATCACAGAAACAAATATGAACCAATGAAAAAAGTATATATTTTTCTATTTTGAAAGGCTTCAGCCCTCCTCCCATGGAACCACTAGTACATCATGATAGCGTTTGTTTTTTGAACTTTTCATGGACTTAGATTAAGAAATAAGCGTAATTTGAACTTATAAATCTGTTTCATTTGAGAAATAGATGAAAAAACATAACCAATAGATAAATCTTACTATGGAATTTATAAGTAGAAAGTAATTGAAATATATAAAAATGTAATTGACAAATGACCGACCTCATATTAAGTTTTTAAGATATACGTTTATGCCAAAACAACTATTTAGATTCGAAGAAAGGACGGTTGTTACTCATCTGCTTTAATATGTTCCATCCTGGTATTAGTTGTCAGTGCGAAAGAAGAGGATTCATTAATTTAAATTATAATGGCTAAGGATAAATGGTGAATATCCTTAATGTCTATCCACATTTCCCTTTAAACAAAGTATCTGATTAGAAGTTTTCCGAATCATATTAGATTAAACTTGGAACGCAATAGTACCAGTTTTATGTTCATTTTTTTTTTTAAATTTATTATTTTATTTCTTTTAGATTTTTAAATGTATTTTTTGTTTATGATATTTTGAATATTATTGTGTTGGGACAGGTCTCCTTCGTGGCCAGTGTGGTCCCCTCGACCTCCTCCTTCCCCTCCTCCTTCAGCGAAATTTTGGCATAGTCCACTCCTTAGACCAAAAAGTAGTTTCCGTTTTCCTCCCTGGTCAGGTCCTTCTCCTAGGGCAACATCCTCTCCTGGTCTCCTTTCCCCCGTCCCTCTATCCCCACTCGCGCAGCGTCCAGTCTCCTCGGAACCACAGCAACAGAGGTAAATAAACATATAATAGAAGTTACTGTCTTCTGCATGGTGGATAGTTGGAGTCTTATGCAACTTCAAATAACAGCTTTCTTTGGTTTATGATGTCTTCGCTATCTTGGTTAACTTTCGGGTTCTTTGGTGGTGGTTATTTCTTATGCTATTTTAGTATTAATTTATGCCATTTCTCTAACATTCAATCTTTTCTGAACAATCTATGTATTTATTTATTACTTGTATGTTAAGAGGACATGAAGCTATGTTTAAAGTTCTCTAATGATAAAAAATTAAAAAAGGTTGGTTCTTTAATTGATGCCTATTATGCCTATTCAAAAGCGATGCATGTTAATTTTTGACAACAGATCTGTTCTTTAGTTCAATGCTAAATATGGTATGTTATGGTCAATAAATATGGTCAATTATTTTTGTTGTCCACTAAGATGTCCATCCAGTTGAATAGTCTCTCAGGTTCGAATTTGAGGGATTAAGCATATCTCGGGTTATTTTTCTAATCTATTAACTTTATATAATTTTAACTAATGACAAGTTGATTGAAAGTTATTTATTTTTACTACTTTGACTTCAATTTAATGGTTTAGCTTTGTCAAGCAAAATTCTCTGAATGATGACCGATGACAATCAGAGAGTAGTAAGAACCTATTGTGAACGAACCTGGGTTGACTTCAAAGAAATAATACGTCCGTGAAAGGTGTTGTGGCTATAAGATGCCTCTGTTTTCATATTTCACTAATAGAAAAAATAGAAGGAAGGAATTAATATTTGGTCATTTTTTATGGTCAAAAACTGATGAAATAAATAAAATAAACAAACAAATTTTATTTAAAAAAATGTTTGCCATATATAAACATTTTTGTCTCTTAATTATTCATCGTCATCTTGATTCTTTTAAAGATTTACTATGAGTTAATAAGTTATTTAAAATATTGAAATAGACAAACAATTATTGGTTCTAAGCAAATTTTAATTTACTTTATAAAAATTTGTTTCATGTTATTACGATAGCTAGCTGCTAGATTTTGAATAATGGAACAAACTATACTTCAAATCAATGATTTTTAATTGAAAATTCACTCCATTTTCTTCATTTATTTTTGGTATAAAATAGTTTTATTTATTTATTTTCACTGAAAGTAATATCTCCATGAACTGCAAAAAAAAAAAAATACCATTTAGGAGGGTCTTCAATAGTTTAAAAGAGGTTAGGGGATGTCTGCTAGTAAATATTTTTATAAATCTTCAAGTCTGTGATTCTTACTGTTTGATTTCATATTTTCAGTTAGTTTAATTTGAAATTCTACTTTTGTATAAACCCTGTCCTGCTACTTATTAGGGCATCAGGAAATGATTCCGAATTCTATGGACAAATCGTATAACTATCTCCTACATGACTGTGCATTTCATGGTAATACATGAAATAGATCTATAGAAAGATCTTCTGGGAACAAGGTGGCTTAGTTGGCAACCCATTTCATCTTAGTTATTTTTTTGGAGGGTGTGTAGGGATCGGCTTGGACTGGTTGGACCAGGTTCAAAACTTTTTGTGGTTAGGGTGGCCGAGCAGGCTAACATGTGCAAAACACGCTTTGTCCGGCAACCTGATTAACAAAGTTAATATGTTAAAGTAATTATGAGCTAGCGTCCCGGTCCCAGGGGAGCTTTTAACCCCCTGGTATTGATCTTCTGCCCTCTTCCGTGAGCTGGGAAAAAATTCATATAGCCTAAAAGATGAGGTGGAGGAGTACAAAAAAAAAATCTAATTGTTCCTTCATAAATTTCATATTTGCCTTTCCCATTCAGAATATAGAATAAAAAGGATTTAAAACGATACTTAAAAATCTCATTTTATTAGAAATCACAACATTCATTGTATTATTATAACTAATGTTGTGTATAGTATAGATATGAATTATTAGAACATACATGTAACAACTGTAAATTAAAATCTTTCTAATTGTATGTATAATTAATAAGAAGTGCTCTGCTCTCTCAGCCTTGTTGGCAGATTAATTTATATTATAATGAAAATTCTTTATCACAAAATATTATTTTCATTTGTAATAAGTAAGCTACAGTAGTTATATTACCAAGTTCTTTCTGGCTCCTGATTAAATTTAAGGCAATAACTATAATTATTTTTTATTATTTAGGTTAACCGCTTTAAGTTCTACACTCGAATCGAAATGGATTTTTATGTGGTTACCAACTGTAAATTTTGAATGCCACAAACACTTGAAAATCAGTAAAATGCTGCATTTAAGGTTAGATAAATTGTATCCTGTTTCGGTATGTACGTGTAATTTTAATAAAATTGCATTTTGCTGGTCCTTAAGTGTTCTAAGCTGTCTGCTTTTTAGTTTTTTTAATATATATTTTTATATAGAGCAATCAATTTGTGATGTCAGAGTTGTAGATATCAACCATTACATTTTTTATGTGGAACAATATCTGTTCCAAAACCAATTTAAAATTGTCAATTTTTTTTTTTTAATTTGATGAAACATTTAGAATATTAAAACGTTTTTGTTTTGTTTGGTTCCACCACTAATATTTGATATAATTAATAAATTAAATTTATTATTTGATGAAGATTGATATATAAAAATTAGTTAAAATATCATCATATTTTTTATGTTTCATCAGCAATAATAAATTCTGTGTTGTATTGTGTATTAACACTGTCTAAATGTCTATTAATTTCTTATGAGTAATTGTTGTTTGCAAAAAAAAAAAATTATAATCCTCAAAATGCTTTAATAATCATAATTCTTGCTTCCCAAGGAACCTTTTGTCATATAAAAAAAAAATTCGCTAAACACAATAGAATACCGTACCAATAATTCTCACATTTTAAAATTCGGTAGAATTATGAATCATCAAGTTAGTCAACTTAGTGGGATTGTAAAATTGTAAATTAAAAAAAAAAATATATTGATAAGACTTTGTTCTCCAAGTTCCTGAACTTGTTTTTTTGTTAATTTTAATGAGAAATTTAACGTGTATATCCCTAAATTTGTTCCTGGTTTTTCATTTATAGGTTTTCTAATGTTCCTATTGATATTGTATGTGACCTGATAAAAATGTCATAATTTCAAGTGAAGTGAATAATTAACAAATCAAATTATTTCTTTACGCTGAAATTCACAGTACTATTTGTTTATTTTAGGTTTTTATAAAGTCAATCTTTTGGTTTTTGACCCATGATGGTTTGAATAAGTGCATCACTTCTGCTTCAAGCCCTGTTAATGTAATGTAGTGAGGCTGTCTCGAATAATTTTAATTTTATTCCCTCTCAACGTAGTGATTAACAGTTTCAAATTTTCATTTTGCCATTTAAATGCAAGCATAAAAAATATGATCCTGTATCTTCTCTCATCTGTCTTATTATATTCTTATATATATCAGTCTAGAACTTGAATTGGAATTTTCTTAACAAATTTAATTAAAAAACGTATTATTATAACGTTATTAGAAAGTTTTTTAAAGCTTGAAAAGTTGTATGATCCCTGCTTAGTATAAACACAAAGTCCTACATATAGAGTAATTCCATGGAAAAATAGCATAATTTGAGCTATAATAAAATTCGAGTGATAAAGGATGTGTTGAATTTGAAAAGGTTGAGGTTGAATTTTTTTAAATTATAAAAAAAAATTTAATATTCACCTATTAATTTATTAATATAATGAAGAGTGGAGAAATTGGACTTTAGTATGACGCGTACACCGACATGACGTACACTAAACTTGATACCTTTCCACTGTTCTTAGGTCTACTTTATAAACTTTTTCTGTATGTTCTTTTTTATTTTGAATATTATTTTTTTTTTTAAATTTGGAATAAGCTATTCATGAAACAGTCAAATTGTTATGAGCCAATCGCTGACAGCCTATGACACCAACCTGATGAATTATCCCATTAAAAATTGATTATATAGGCTGTCTGATATTCTTCATTCAAATATTAGACATAGAATTGGTTTTTCTGAATAAAAAAAACAACATTATTTTCTTTAATGTTAGTAGGAATATAATCAGGAACTCTTGCAATGTGTTGATGATACTTTTTCTGTATTTCTATTTTTAAATTACATATAAAATTTGTGGGGATGATAAATCATTATGCACAGTTTTAGTAATTCACATGTGCTTTAGGACCAAAAGTCGGTAGAAAGATTGTGATTTGTTGTTACAAATAGTTTATTTGTTATTTTGTTTGTAAAATAACCTTGCAGTTTTCTTATATTTAGCATAGCTATATATTTTGAGTTAGTTTAAGCGCCTTGTCTAAAAATGTTTTAAGAGAGTGTAAAAGTGTTGTTTTACTAAATTATAATTTTTCTCGTTTTATTTTTATTTTACTTGATTGTAAGGGTCATTCGACCAATTAATACAAATTTATACCCCAACAAGATTGTGACTTCTGTGTAAACTTTCATGTATTCTGACTAATACCGATGGGAATCAGCCATTTTCAGCTTGGAGTTGAATTATTTTTAACTTAAATATCGATTCATTTTCGTGATTAAATTTAAATCAAAATCCATGTCCTAGGTGATGAAATGTTACAGGAACTTCTTGGTTAGGGCAAGTAATAATTTGAAATTTTTGAGGCAAAACAGGATAATTTTATGGTTGTTACTCATTTTAAATCTACTCTTAAAACTCTTATATTCAGCTTATAATATTGTGTTTTTTTTAATTTTAATCTTGAATATGAACTATGAATCATTTAGTTAATTCTTCTGTAGTACGCGGCCCAAGGCATTCATCCTCTCGCCCCTCCTCTAAATTCAGCTCTGCATGTGGAGAAATTAGATTAAGCAGTGACCCAAACCTCACCAGTCTTCAAACAAGGAGTCATAGTTGCCAGTGCTCATTTGTCCTCGAACTTTATCTTCATGTTTTGAAATATACATAAATTTTTAATTAATTGATTATACTACTAATCGTAGATTAAATTTTGAGTTTTTTCCGTATTAATCATTCTATTTCTCTAAACTTAAACAATTTCAATCATGTTTTGCCGCGTCTCCATTTAGATCAATCTATATGAAAGTATTTTCAGTGAGTATCATTTTTCATTAGTATCCTACTACTAATACTAATACTCTCTCTCTCTCTTTCCTCCTGCATTGAGGACTGTTATCTTGCTACATTGACCTTCAGTGCCGGCCTTAGGGCAGGGTAACCTGGGCGTACGAGCCAGCGCCTATGAATAAAACTTTGTGTATAAATAGGAAATTGTTTGAGAATAAAAGCAAAACTTACTAATTGAATGTGTACATGTTTTTGAATGTTTTTCTAATATGTTTTTATACTTTGATATCCCTTTAAATTGATTGCATTTTATTTTTTTAATATTACTATTGAACAAATTAGATATAAGTAATAATTAAATACATCTATTTGTATTTTATGTACTTTGAGAATTATATAGCTTTAATATACACATTTATATTTTTTATAATTCACATTTATATTAAAAGTTTTTAAACATAAACTTCTCATATCTGACTTCAGGACAGTATCTTTTCTAATTAACATATCTTTGAAAAAAGAGACTAAAATTTACTTTAAATGAAATGAAATATTATCATACAACTATAAAAGTATTGTACTTTGACTTAAATAAATTTTGCAGACTTTATAGTCACCAAAGAGTTCTATACAGTTTAGACAAATCTATTAGTGCCTACTCCTCGATACTTTTGCAAAACTGATAGATATTTATTTATTTTTTACTGATTTATCTAAAATTAAAACTAAAACAGAACTTGTATATTTCTTATTATTGGTATTGATGAGGGCAAGTAATTTTGTAAGTGGACTTTTTTTCATTTTTACCAATCATTGAAAGGTGTATACAGTGTCATCAAGATTCATTTCTCGGGAGCCTTAATATTAACTGATCCAAACAAGAATCGGACCTGTCTTTCGAACCAGACACTCTGTGATCCCACCCCCAACATCCTTGCTCATCATGACCTCTTATATTTTAGGAAGATGTTTTAAAATAAAATTCTGAGAATTTCATTTTGTATATAGTAACTTCCTTATTCACAGATTCTATGCATGAATGGGTTATTTTTGGGATGGGAAGAGTTTTATTCTTTGGAGAGGGTTTCAACTCAAAGGGAAAGGATTAAAAGTGCTTTGAAAGGTTATTTATTTATTTTTTTCAATTTTTCTTTCTGGCTATACATGCTGAAATGATTTACTACAATGTAAATAAGTAAACTGTTTATATAATGTTACACCATTTATTTTTAAATGTATATTGTCATCTGTGATACGAGCACTAACTGGAACACGTACATTAAATATGTTACATAGAATCTTGTTTTATAGAAGTCTCCAGAAGACTAGAACTGAATTAGGTTATAACATATGATTATAGGGGGCTGAGGAAGGTATCCGAAAGCTGCAAACTGTCTCTAGTCACAGGAGATGAAACTTGCGAAGGGATCGATGAAGTTTCATCCTCCACTGTTGCGAGGGTTGTTCATGTGTATGTCTTATAATTTATTTCATCTTCTCTCACCACATTTCTGTTTCATGTATTCATCAACCGTATATTTATGTTAACATCTAGTTTAGTTCATTAACAATTATTCGCACTGACTTTAAGTATTAGTCTTCACATCCATGTGCTTCATAATTCTAGAAAGCTTTATATTTTATAGTCCTTAACTAATAAATAATGCATGTAAAGATACTAACGATTGATTTATTAAAATTGAGTTTTATGAAAGAAAAAAAAAACTATTTTGTGCCTGTATTGTTTAAGAGATATAATATAATAAAATTGTGTAAGTCACTTTATACTCATAATTTATTTTGTTTCCCCTAGCTAAAATTTATTCAAATATATATGAGTTTTGATTAATTAAATAAAAAATAAAAACATAGAAGTAGTAATGAGACCGGGAGTAGAGATATCCGGGGTTGCAGTCATAAAAAAAAAAAAAAATAGTTTTCACTATTTTAAGTTTTTTCTATGACCACCACCCCAGATCATATCTTCCCTCAATATTATACTGTTGTAAATTATTAGTGTATTAAAGAAAAGTAGTAAGTTTGTTCGTAAGTCCTAATGGAAATGTTTATTTATATAAGGTATATGAATAAAGTTAAGTAACAGTATACTCTCACAAAAATATTTTTCTTTATTTTTATGACGTATTATCCCATCCTTCAGACCGTATCTCATCTTTCTATGATCTAATTTTTTTTAAAAAGAATTGTCATGATTTTTATTGGTTTATAACTGATCCCTGAATTATATTGTGAACTCTTCTGGGGAGAGCGTCTGGCTAGGCTATCTCTAGAGGAGTCCACAATATAATTCAGGGATGATTTATAAAAAAATAAAAATTATGACAATTCTTTTTTTAAAAAATTAGATCATAGAAAGATGAGATACAGTCTGAAGGATGGGATAATAAAGTGATCCCGAAACGTCATAAAAATAAAGAAAAATATTTTTGGGAGAGTATACTGTTACTTAACTTTATTCATATATCTTTTATAGTAAATTTGCTTTGTAACAAGTTAAAACATTGAACCATACCTAAATACAATAAGTAGCCCTATGGATAGATAGCCTATAGTTTTTGAAGAATTATTTTATTTTAATTGTATACCATTTACTATAATCCTGCCGATATTTATTGCCGTTTATTTATTTGCAATTATATCAAAATATTATCCTCTTAATGTTTTCAATTGAAAGGAGATTTCTTACCATACTTCACCTGTTCAATTTTATGTAATCATTGTTCTACTTTTTTCTTTTATATCTCATATGTCTGTAGTCCCTCAAATTACCTAAGTGAATTTAAAGATCAAAACAAAATTAACATAATCACACAAATGGTTAGTGCATGTTTTGTTTTTATTTGCAGACTGACAACAATTACATCCTTGATTTAATTGTCTTTCAACATACAGGCATAATTTGTGGAAAAAATTGTTCTTCTTGCCTCCTGCTTCTTCATTGCTGCTAGAAGCAATTTAACTATAGTTATTTTTAATTTCAATTTATATTGCGTCATTTTAAGAAAAATTAATCATATTAAAAATATCATAATTATTTCAGTAATTCTTCTAAATCATTTAATATGAAAGTTCCTATATCAGTGTAAGCATTTTATTCATAAAATAGTAATTATATGCAATTTATATTATATTATTTTTGTTTTTAAAATAGATTCCATATTTTTCACTCTTCTATGAGAGTCAAGTCGTCATTGGAATTCACCTTAAAATGTTGAAATTAATAAAAAAATTCTAACATTTTGGTTTAGAATAAAATCAAAAACTTCAAATTTAAATTATTTATTCTAAATGACAAATATTAATTTTTATAAGGATATTAATAAAAAAATCATTTTTCAGAAATAATGGTGTACCTGTAGAAACAGGTTCATTAGATCGAGGCAAAGCTGCTCTGGAAAGGAGAAAGAAAGCTGCTGAAGAAGGCCCAGTCGTCGGTCGTGTCGAAATCACGCGAGTCAATCCTAATTCTCTTATCGATCAGATCATCAAAGCAACTAACCTCGGTCCAGCAGATGATACTACTCAAAGTAATTCATCCATTATTTCTTTAAATAAAATAATATATTCATATATTTTTCTTCCTATTACATTATATGGTATAGTTAATTATAAAAGTTTATATGGACCTTAATGAACATTAACTTTAATATATTGTTTAATACATCTTGAAATAGATTTAACCTATCCAAACATTTGCCTACATCATGGTGTCTTATTGGGAACATAAAATATTTAATCTAAATGTAATTGTGATATATATGTTGAAAATTAATTAAACAGAATTTTAAGCCATAATACTCATTTCAAACTATTGAGAATGTTTATATTGTATGCTGGAGAAACGTTGATGATATTTTGTTAACATCATGGATCTTTAACACTATACTTATCTATATTTTGAATGGGATACAAAATTGGTGCTTTTTTTTTTTTTTTAAATTGGTGCTCACAATGTCCAGTGGAGACTTTGTTTTTATTAATTATTAAATTAATACTGCAGGATGACAAGGTTCTGTAAGGACCATAGTGCCATCGGATGATGATGATAATTAAATTAATTTTACAGAATGATTACACTATAAATATCTATAAATAATAATAAAAAAGTAATATACAAGAGTATTAAAAAATATAATATTATAAATACTAATATTGGCATGGTCGAGGATAGATTCGTGTCATCAATTTCTTAAAAAATTAGAGCAAGAGATCTTCAGGAATGTTTGACGATTGTTGACTAAGGCATTTTATCCGCCAGTCACGATACTATATACCAGGGGTTCCCAACCTTTTTTCAGTAGCGGTCACATTTATAGGTCATATCTTGAGTGGCGGGCATTGTGTTTTTGTTCATTGTAAATTGCAAGTAGGTTACTGTCTATAAATTTTTAAAAGAAAATGTAAGTGGTATCAATAAAATATATATTGGATGGATCCACCTTGCACCATCTGACTACCATTTATTCTGGTCTTTCCAAAACTCTCTTAATGTTAAATCGTTTGCTGATGAGAGAGAGATATGAAAACGTATCTTCATCAGTTTTTCACTTCTTAAGTCCCAGATGTTTTATGAGAGCAGAATAATGAAATTGTTAGAAAGATGACAAGAGGTCATTAATAAAAACTGTGAATAAATTATTTAGTAAAATTTATTCGTTATATGATAAAAATTTATTTGATTTCACTCTTCGAAAACCAAATGAACTTATGAATCCACCCAATGTATACTTATACTAGAAGACATCTTTATCATTTCTAACACTAATGAAATATCTTTCTACAGAAAAGACAAAAACACCAAATGCAATAATTGTATTAATTTTATATAGTTTTCTAATATTAAATTAACACTTTTTCAAATTTAAATTTAAAATTAATTAAAAGTGACATTGACTGGTTATAAAATAAGTTAAATGCAATGTTACCAACAGTTTCATTCATTTTTTTTTTTACTACCAAAGATATAGAAGAGATTAATCAAAACAATAGTAATGATATTATATCGATAAATTAATTCTTCTTATTATTATTGAATTTTATATCTATAAACTCTAGTTAGATTTTTAAGTATTCATGTATTTAATAAAGGAATCGTAAAACATTTGAATTGAAAATTTGTCTATCTGCAGCATATGCCACGTGAAAAAATTATGATGATTTAAAAAAATACAAAATAAATTACAACTTTCAAAAGTGAGCATTCATACTTGCTAATAATTATTAGGTATTTATTAAAATAAATATTCAACATTTAATTTAAAACGTTTTGGTCTTCAGCAGGCAACACTAAAACTGTAGAAAGGCGATGGCTGCTGTAAAGGTTATGTTAGACATAGGCAGGCACATTCATGGGCACAGTGGTGCCTGCAAGCTCTGGGTTGGGAACCCCTGGTATATACCATAGGCGGTGCTAATGGAGGCCATATCAATTTTTTATATTTTATTGTTGTTCTTATGTATCACTAAATACACACACCCATATACATGCATTCAACTTGATTCTCAAAATTTTCTAACCTAAACATTAAATATCAATTAATTCTATCGCGCATAAACGTTGGAGGCCGCAGCTATGTCACGGAGGCCATATTTCCACCTCGCGGCACCTGATTCCCTAACTATAGTATTATTATGATTGTAATGTTTTCGATGTTTATTACAGGTTCTGGGTTGCAGCTGTTCATTGCTAAAGATGGGACTACTGCCCTTGGGACTCAAGAAGTTAAGAGCCATATGCCTACAGGAGTATTCAAACAAGTAGTTATAGAGGAAAATAGGTAACAAAAGCTACTTGGAAACAAGTGTGCCAAACCAACTTTATACTTTCCCGCTATCATGTTTTATTTCCTTTACAAGTTCGGAAAGCCAATCCATTTATTCAATACACGACTGACAACCAATTATAAGTGTAACTTTCTTTATTATTATTATTTTTTTTAATATGTAGTTCTCTTTTTATGAAAAGTGAGGTTGTAATTGTAAAATATTTGAGTATGGCTTCTTCCTTTTAGAATAAATGGAACTTTTAATTATTTCATGACCAAGAAAAGAATTCTTTAAGTTTTATCAATTCTTTTATACTGTGTGTACATATATAAGTTTTAGATTATGTAGGCAGTGTTTTAATTTAATTTTGTCATTTCTAAATGAAAACTGTATTTAATTTCTTTTTGAATAGAACACCTGATAATATTATAGTAAGCCTTCTTAAATGAGCATTATATTTAATATTGAATCATTTAAAAAAATATAAATAGCAATGGACTAGAAGAAATATCAATCTAATATTTAATACAAGATTTTTTTATTGTGTTTCAATGTACTATGCCAGTTTGTTTATTATTCTCCATTCAAGAAAGCTTATTATTTTCACTACGACAAATAATATTTCTCAGAATATTATAGTTACATTTTGTTTTAATTAATCACAAAAAAAAATAAAGAATGACAATTCATATTTATAAAATGCTATTACTTCAATTAAATAAATAAGGGATGTTTAAAATATTACTCCTGTGAGATTTGTAAGATGATATAATTTATTGAAATCCATGTTACAAAAATCACTAGACAAAAATAAAAAGAAAAGAAAAGTGAGAGTTGAAAATACAAGTATTGTAATAATTTTAGTACTTACGTATTCGGATTTGTACTAATTTGTTTAGGCGATTCCTTGGATATATATGATTTCTTATTTGTGATTTATTTAATATTTCTTGTTGTTTGTTCCAGTAAATGATGTTTTATTATTTATATTGTGCTTGTGCTTCCATTGTATTATAAAAGAATTATAAAAAAACAAAAAAAAATTGAAAATCTACTTAATGTTTGTATATAAGCTAAATGTTCAAAAGAAGAGAAAAAAAAATTGTCAAAAATAATTATTTTTGTTGTAGAAAATGAGTATAATGTATCATATTTCTAAGCATCCTTAAATGTTTATTTTCAGTAATATATTAGGCATTAGCTTTTCCAAGAAAATTAATGTGTGTCTATGGAATTATATGAAAACTTTAAATAGCAAATTTTTATTAATGTAAACACTAAGGACATTTTTATTCTTATAAAAAGTTATAGTTATCATATGGATTACTTTAATTAATTTTGAAAATCTATCTATGATTATTTATTATATTTTTTTTCAAAAATGGATATTGCATTACAAATAAAATACAATCAACCATAAATGTTTAAAAGTTAATTACAAAGTTGGTATTTTTTTTAATCGATATATACAGAAACAGATCTATCATTAGTGTCCATTATAAAATACTTCTTATTGTTACTTAAACAATTTTTTGAATTACTGATTATTGTCTAAATGAATATTTGATATTGTTTATTTTTAGTGAAAACAAAGTATCATTTAATTTTTTTTATTTTCAATCAATTATGTGTAATTGTAAATGTATAAATCTGTTATAAAAGATTCGAAATGAAAGAGATATTTCATAATATTATAAAGAATTTGCTATTTAAACTAAATCTATGCATTTAACATGGGCTTCTAAAATGAAGATTAGTTGTAAAAAATATTCTATTTCATGTGTTAATTGTTTGTACATATTTTTTTTCTTAAGTTCTATTTTTTCTTTCTTTTCTTTTCTTTTTTGTTTTATCCCGAAATTCTTTTTTTTTATTTATATACATTATACTTTCTCAATATTTTTCTACATTTTTGTTTTTGTTGTTTTTTTTTTTTGTTTTTTTTTTTTTAGTTGGAGACAACAGCTTCCAACGTAGTCTTTAAATCGTCGATCGTTTACAAGGCTCTTTTCTGTAGGCGGTCTCGTTTAAATTAAGGTATTAATTTACTTCCATTTTATAAACGACCCACTGATTTCATCACAATAAGACTTTTAACGTTCGCTTGTAATCTGTGTGAATATATACTCAACATTCTGATTATAATATATGTGTATATGTATTTATTATATAATCGTGTATGTACTATTTGTGTAATGAATATTGTCTGTATATTGTATATATTGTATACTGGCTCATGTATCACATGCTCATTAATGTTAAGAAATTAAAGTTAGTTTCGATCATGTTTTCAAATTATTTTATTTTATTTTTTTCATTTCTAACATACATTTAAACAATTATAATATTTTATTTATTTTTCTCGCTTTCCTAAGTAGTCTAGTATGGATCATGGTTTTCGCATAAGTTCCCTTTTATTCCTGAAATCAGTACAACTAAAAATTTTCATTTATATTTTTAGTAAGAATTAATGTTGTTTTGTAGATATAGACACTGCATTAAGAAAATCTATTATCAAGATTTTAAAAAAATATATATATATATTCAGTTTTCTATTAATAGGATTACAATTTATTATAAAAATAGAGTCTTCTTCTATTTTTCTCAGTTTTATTAATTAGGTTATACTGTTTATGTTTTCCTGGAGTTTGTTCTTTGTAACCCTCATGATATGAAATTTTGGAAGTTCTTAGAGCTAGTTGATAAAATTAGTGATTATAGGAGTTAAAACTACTTCCTTTTGTTTGATCATTTAGTAAATAATTGTTTACTTCCTCAAAAATATTTTCTCAAATAATTGTTTTGTCAGTGTCTATTTACCATAAGTGTTGTTGCTAAAATTGTCAACTTTTCCAATTATTTTTTATAGTATAAATTCATTTTGTTCTATGTATGAAGCACAAAAAAATACACACAAAAAAACAAATAATGAGTAATTGTTTCCACACTAGACTATCTTTAATGAATATTAATTTTGTTACTAAACTGAAATAGAATAAGAAGCATGTACTTGTAATAAGCCCTTGGCTGTGGCCTAGATTATTTCATTATTTTGTAAATTTTCCAAAGATGTAAATAAATTATGATTACATTAAAAAAATAATGTTTTTAATACCCCTATTACCCATATCTTGTTTGGCTAATTTATTTATTTTATATTATTAAGTGTATTTTAATGATTGTTGATATTTCAAGGTATCTTTAGTTTCTGTAACATCCGATACAAACTATCAATTGTTGCCTTTTCCTCAAAATACAATAGTAAAGAAAGATTTTTATAGCAATACAAAATAACTAAAATTACGAAATATATGTAAAAAAGAAAGTGTAAAACTATAGGGTGAATGCACCAGTTATGGCCAGGGACCCTATTCATGGACAGGTTGTACTTTAAATGTAAATTATAAGGTTCCTTGTTGATTTAAAGGTTCCAGTTTTTTCTTGATTGAAGAACAATGACCTCTATTGACAACTGTATGAACAAAGTTCCCAAAAGAAAATTTTAAAATGGATATCATTGTTGTTTCTATAAGGCTCTTAAGATCAGTGTGTTTCATACCTTTCTACTAACGGTTTTGCTAAAATTAAGTTGATTATTTGCGTGATTTTATTTTTATAGTTAAATAAAGAATTTAGAATTTTTCTGAGGTATGTCTATTACTGGTACCGATGAAGGAGTATTTAGATAATGGATATTTATAATGGAGTATTAAGATCTTAGTTTTGATAGATATTGTTGCAGTTTTAGTAAGGTTCTTCTTTTTGGCACATCACGATATTTGGGCATTGTAAGTCCAAATTGGTCTCAGTAGGTATAGTATAGGTATAAATCTTGGAGTTTTCAGTTGGTGGTAATTATAAAGAGATAGTAATAATTTTACTGTAAGTCAAGTTATTAATTTTTATATGAGAAGTCTAAGTCAGTCACTTATTCAGTGTCAATCCAAGACTAAGGTGACCTGATTTTAACATTGGTGAAGCGAAACACCATGGATTGGGGAGGAGGGGGAGGAAAGAAAGAGGAGGTTCTTGATTAAAAATTTGTTTTATTTAGTGAAAATTTGTTGTTACAATAATTAAATTTACATAATGATAATCTGGTGCAAATATTAATCAGGTGACATAGTATTCAGGTAAAATGAGATTGATAATTTAGTTCTAAAGGCATATTTTTGAGAGTGAATGATTTGATGATATATTTGAGGTTTAATTTATGACTTCGATAACAATGCAGTTTTTAAGACTGAAATGCTTTGTGCCAGCAGTTTGTTTTCCATCAAGTAGCTCTAACCTAAATATATATATATATATATATTAATAAGGATGCTTCATTAAAAAGACTATTTTCATTTTGTTTATTATCAGTAAGTCCAAACAACGGTGGTCGAATTTTAACAACTGATCAACAATGTGAACTTTGCTAAGCAGTTTTCGATTAGTTTCTTAATAATTATAAGTAATTAATAAAATTTAACATTATAAAACCAACAAAAATAATAAAACCCACAACTTGGCAAAAAAATAGCTACATGCATGTGCTACAAATAGTAAAAAAGCGGGACATCTGGTCTCCTTGTCCAAGATAATTAACTGCATTAGATCAAGTCAAATATTATTGGGCTAGTAAAACAGTAGGACTTAGACCACAATGGCAAAGCTTGAAGATGGTTTGCACTGACTTCCCAATGCTAATTTCTGTTTTATATTTAATACAACATTCTCGAAGCAGATCATGGTAGTTTTGTAAAACAAAATTTGCCTCTAGTTAGTATCGAACTTAGTTTGATAAATTTATGAACCACTATTGATAATTTGACTCAGCTATGTTGTAATTAATTTTTACAATTTAATTTAAAAATCTCACATGAGCAAGGAAATTTAATTAAATATAATAATTAATAAATGTAAAATTGAAGGATAGTTGCGTTACTATCTAAAAAAATTTAATCGATCATGAGCCGATTTTAAGCAGTTAAGAAAATATTCACTTAGATTAATACTGCTATTGAAAACTCAACTCTGTTTATTTGTATTATTTCAAAAATATTATTTTATGAAAGCAGTATTTAATGTATTTCATGATATATTTTACTAGTAGGGTATTTCTCCTTGGCTGATATCAACTAAATATTTCTTCTCTCCAAAATACAACAATCTTAAGCTCAAAACAAATAATTGCTTTTAATTAATTGCTCACCTTAACTTATATTTATTCATCTATAATTAGTTCTTATGAAACAATTTTTTTTTTTCAATTTTTCTTAATACTGTTAATTTATAGTATAGTTGAATTATAATCAAATTCGTATTATTTGAAATTTCTTTTAAATCTTGTAGGAAAATGTAACACAAACTCACAGAAAAGTATAATTATTTCATTATATAAGTTAAATAATAATGAATATTAAATGAAAATTTGTATTGCATTTGTTTTTATATTTCACTGTTTTACATTTTATCTCCTCAGTTTATTAAATCGATAGGAGCATGAAAGAATGTACAATTAATTAAGCATGCATATTAATAAATGATTAAAACATGCATAATACATATGGTTAAAAATTATACATCATTATCAACTACGTATAATAAAACAAAAAGGAATGATTAATGAGAATTCAGAAAAATGTTTAAATAATAGTTCAACTGTCTACAGATAGCAGCACAACTCAGGAACCTGTAAAAATAATTTAAATAACAGTTCTAGTTAGCGCCACTTAAGCGCAGCACTATTCAAAGAGGCATTTCCGAAGTAGATCCAGCTTGGAAATTTTATTTTATATTAGGAGATTAGGAAGTTAAAGGAGCTCAACTAGTAGGTCTGCATATTTACCACAAAAGTGCTGCTCTCTTTTAGCACTAACGTAAACTACAACAGTTTCAGAAACAGCCACAAGAGAGCAGCACTTTTATGGTTGGTGAGCAGACCTACTAGTTGAGCTCCTTTAACTTCCTAAACTCCTAATACAAAATAAAATTTTCAAGCTGGAATTTCTACTTCAGAAATGCCTTGTTGGATAGTGCTGCTCTCTAGTGGCGCTAAGTAGAACTGTTATTTAAATTGTTTTTCCATGTTCTTGATTTGTACTGGTTGGTATCTTTAAATAATTAGTTGAACAATGATTTAATTATTATATCTCACATTCCCTGGTTTATAGTGAATTCTGACAGTGGTAAATTAAATAATTCAGAAACAAAAAGTATGTATAACTTTAAATATGTTAATAATGTATAAATATGTTACTTTTTTCATATAATAAAATCCTGTAATACCAAAATTATTTTTAAAAAACTATTTATTTGCAATATTTCTCTAATTCTTCTTTGGTGCATACTATTTATTTTCAGCCATTTTACACCAATTTTCTTTGATATAAAATTGCCACGAGTTTCTTTTTAATTAAAAAAATAGACGGAGGAGGTAGTACTGTACGGGAAGAACAAGCATCAACAAATGCGCAATCATTAAAGGAATATGGTTATCATTGGTATTTGGTATACTACAAATAGTTGTTCAATAAAATTATAATATTGAAATATATTTTAGTAGATAAAAAATGGTTTTTGTTGACTTGATAATGAGCTAATCGGCTCGAAACCTCATTGGAAGTAGAATAAAAAATTTGAAAGAATAAGGGCTTATAAATTCCTTGAAGACACCATATATATGAACATTGAGCGCCCTTGAAAAGTACTACTGTACAATATAATTTTAGTTAAAATACAATGAATTTTAGATGAACGGATAGTGAATGATAATTAGGTTTTATATTAAAAAAAATTAAAATCAATGAATGGTGTTGGATTAAATACTTTATACTGAGGATCACTTTCAATTATATATTTTTTTGTCCATCCAATGAATAACAGATACACATTTTACAAAAGTTGGATTTTCTCTAGTAGGGTCTCTTGAACCCAAAGTCAATCAAGTTACACCAATCCAAGTACTGGGTGGTAATGATCTGAATTCAACAGATATTTCATTATTTAGGTTCAAACGTTGATAAATTTATATTGCTTGTAGCTTACAATGAACAAATTTTAACTTAATCCAGAGTATGGCATTTTTTTAAAAGAATTTTAGTCTGCCAGACAATTATAATGGCTAGTTCTCAATCACTTTTCACTCCGATTCATCAAACTGCAAGCAAAATACTATATAACAAATGTTAAATAGTTTCAAAATGGGACAATTGAGAATTACATTACTAGAGAAAACTTGTTGAAGTAAAAACAATACTTTTTGTCGTTGTTTAAAAAAACAATTTCAAACATTAAAATGAATATGAAACTATTTTTAAAATGAATCACATTATACATTATAAATTGTTTTCTTATTTTAATTATTTAATAAACAACTTACAACTAGAAAACCTAAAATAAAGAATATAAGTTAATTTGTCAAAGCCAATATTCCTAGAATGACCTTGGAGATTTGAAAATACATTATAAATGTTCATGATAAGCTTGAATACCACAAGATATAACAGTCGTAGGGATCCATGTAAGTTTTACAGCAAAACATTTTTTGTTACTAAATAGTTGAATATGTGATGTAGTGTTGGAATATTATAAAAAGTTAAATGAAATAAAATCTAGAGATATAAAATAAAAATAAAAAATGTGTTTTGAGAACACTTAATAAAACCATCAAACTTCAATGAAAATCATTCATATTTTTTTATAAAATATAATAATATCTGCTACAAGAATTAAATAAAAAGCTTTTTATAAACTATTTGTTTTGAAATTTTGTAAATATTTAAAATCAGAGGGATAAATTTTAGTTAGAAATCTCTAGGCAAATTAAAAACAATTTAAATCAACTTTATTAATTAATCCTGATAAGCTATTTACATATAACTTTTAAGACCTTTATGTATGTAAAGGAGCTGAACAAAGCATACATTGTACAAATATGATTCATAGCACTAAATTAGGTGAGATAGAATAATTTTATTGCTCGATAATGTTCATATAAAACCATCATATTAATGGTTGACTGCCGAATTGATATGTTTCTTTTTCCTATTTTTGTCCTGCAATTTTAATTTTTGGCTAATTCATTGAATAAATTTAATATTCCCCATTCTGGCCAGAATTAATTGGTATTGATGGGGCATGATGGGGTTTATCCTAAAAGTAAATGATCATGAGTCTGTGGAGGCCGAGCATTTTAAAGCATTGCCTGCTTTATAATTCTCGAGTTTAGTTCAAATCCGGTCTGGGTGGGTTAAAATTATTTTATGAGACCCATGGAATGAATCTCAACCTTTCCAATCAAATAGATTCGGTTGTATCTGTACAAAAACCTCTCTCCCTCCCTCGCTCCGTATACCAGAATGGCGAGCCAGAGTGTTAACATAAAACATGGTAACCAACTTATTTTAACCAGACTTGGATGGTTGAGATTCATTTGTGGTTCCACGACTAACTAAATTTCAACCCACCCATAACAAATTCAAACCAGTGCCACTACATTCCAGGTTGTTAAGGTTACTATGTTGTAACACTATCTGCAGCAACATTAGCAGCAAAAAGGGTACTCCACAAATACTGGGTTTTGTAAGTTCTCATGACATAGGGAGCTTTCAGGATAAACTGCATAGATTTGGCTAGGACGTCGACCTCCTATGTCCTAGATGTGGAGTTTCAGAGACTACTGATCATGTGGTAATGACCTGGACCACCTTAGAGATACAGAAGAATGGCACCTATGGTTTCATAGAAAATGATTTTATCCCTCTCATGAACAAGAGAAATATCGGTTTTGGTGGAAGATGACAGTATGAGTTCTGTATGACAGTATGACATCTTTAAGCATTGCATGACTGTATGACATCTTGGTGCTCCTAAAGGAAGGTGTGAGTCAGCATATGAAGGATTTCTTAATGGACAGATGTCTGACTAGGAATCAAGCCTGTAGAAGTAGCCTGTAATTTTTTGGGGAACTACCTCTTAAATCTTTCTCGATCTTACATTCTGGCTAAAATAGGTTTATAAATCGTATGCTAGTCTAAAACTAAACTTTTACGAACATTATTTGTGGTGTATTGTTTTTACAAACCAATCTTTTTAATTAAGCTAGAAAATAAAATCGAACCTCCCTTTAATATTTGAAGTTTGCGTTTCATATGTAATATACAAAAACAAAATAAAAAAACATTAGTCCGTTCACTGTCCGCGAATTTTCTTCCAGCTTCAGGGCTGATTTTTTAAAAATAATTAGTAACAGATCACCCCACGACGATCCTTAAAACTCGACATTAAAATCCTTCATTTTGTTGGAAAATGGTAGATAAAGACCTATTCGGCCATATCTAGCTTTTGAATTTAGTTCATAAGCATTAATAATAATAATAAGGTAATAAAGAATTAAGTTGAGTTCCTAAAATCAGCGCTGAGATCATTGATCGGCACCGAAAGTCCATGGAAGGATTAGTTTAGGAACTCGCCCTGGCCAATTAATAGTGTGTGCGGTTTTTGTTAAAGTATCTCTATTAAATTCCATTTCATATCCATTATTTTTGCTCAAAAGTTGTGAAACTCAATACTAAGAGAAATATCGATATCTTGATATCAAATGACTGAAGATCAGTTTATGAAATGACAATATAATATCGATTTTAATGTTATCGAAATCTTATCCGTGATAAGTCGTATTCAAGTTTGAAAAGTCCGCCAGATTTACTTAAAGGGTTGTCATTTTGTTATGTTGTAGCATATTTATTTTACTGTTTTTAATAAATAATCAGTTACTTATCTTAAATTACTCTAATATTTATTGTAGTTTGATTCTGTTGCGAGTGAGTAAATACTTGCTGCGCTCAGCGATTTGTTGTTATTGTCGACCCACCCTAATATTTATTCGTATTTTCTTTTTTTCAAATGGAGTAATTTTAATGGCCAAAACATTTAAATCTAGCCCTTTCGAGAATATAGTCAAGAAATACACCCTTTGTGGTATATGGTAATTAGAACTTGTTATTAATTGTTGTAACTTGTTGATATGGATTTCATTATTGTATTTAATGGTATCCATTTTTGTTTTTAAATCAATGTTTTAGTGATGGGAAAATTATTCATAGTTCTTTTCTGCAATGTGGATGTAGTGTCATCTTGTGTAATTACTGTAATGAGAAACACAGTTGCAAATTCCATCACCAGGCAGTCAAATTTGACAGCTATCAACACAACAAATCAGTTAATTTCATTCATGAGCTTTCTGCTCTAATGACAACAAATCCATCTGAGAAAGGTAATATCACAGAATGTTACCATGACAATTCCTAGTTAGTGATCAGATATGATCAACTTTTTTATTATATGTGATGGTTATTTTAATAACTTAATTCAGAGAGCTGTTATTTTTCTGTTCTTAAAATGTAGATTTTATAATTACTTGATTTCATTTATACTTAAAAGGCATCCTATGTTTTTTTCCTTAATCATGTACCTGATTATTAATACGGAGTGAATTAGTGTTTACATGGTTCGATGATTCTATCTATTATGATGAAGTTTCATTGCTGTTGTGAATAATTTTAAGAATATTTTAATATTGTCAAGTTTTCAAAGTTGATATTGTTTTTATTCAAGTTAATCTTCGTTGTCACTGTTGATTTAAAATTTTATATCATATAATTAATTACATTATTTAAATATAAATATGCATATTTGCTTTATTTGACACATTATTATCTATTCCAATAATTTAGTAATATGCCAGAAATGCTAGCGTGTCATTTTACATTCTTTTTATTCTTAAGTTCTACATTAAAAAGAAAAAAGGAAAAATGATTAATTGTTTTTTATAATGGGTAAATGATTCAAGTCTTAATTTATAAAAATAGGATTGCATAGCATGAATGAAATGAAAAAAAAAATTATTCTGGTACTACGTACTGGTCTTCTAAGAATAATAACAGTGTTTGAATATTGTGCGCATTATTCTTGCTTAGAGGAATATAAAATGGTGCTTAATTAGCTGTTAATTACAATAGCAATTGTACAGTTAATGAAATTATATAGTATACATAAAAATCTAAATTTTAAATGGTTGCGGAAATTTAAATACGAAGTAGATGGTGAAATAGAAGTTGTTTGAAGGAATTTGTGGAGGAGGATTGATATGTGGAGATAAAGAGTTCTAAAAGAAATTAGCACAAATAGTGAAGGATTTGCTTAAGGAATTAGTTTTATGGGAAGGGACATATAGACCAATAGGTTGAGATATGGGAGGGGTGGATCGAGGAACATAGAGTAAGGAATTCTAGGATGTAGGGAGGATTTTTGGTTCTGAGGACTTGGAAATGGAAAACAACTAAAAGAAACTTTCCTTATGAAGTGGGAGAGAGCCATTTCAACTTGGTGGTTGAAACGTGAGAATATCTGGGAATCCCAAAGATGTATTTTAAGAAACAATTCATGAATCCCTTCAGACTCATCAGGTCTTTAGTCTCAACATGGTAGTCATTATTAAATGTAATACATTAAGTTTATTGTTATTTAGGGTATATTAATCAGGGCTAAAGTGAATAAACAAGATATTTCATTATATTGTTTTTATTATTTAACTAATAATCTTAGTTATTTTTGGGTTGACAGACAATGCTCGGTGCTATGCACACACCTTAGCCTGCTCGGTCACTCTGCCCCCAAGTTCACAGATCTAAACATGATGCTAAATTGTGTTTCCTAAGTTTCCTCTTGTGATTATTGCCATTAAAGGAAACTTCTATGGTTTGAAGTCTTCATCCTTAAAACAATTTCACTTAAAATAACTAAAAAATATCTTGATTAATTATTACATAAATAAGACATTATTTTTACTTATTACATATAAGATTGCTGGGCAACATGTATTTTGTACACATATTAGCCTGCTCTTGATTAAAATTATCTTGATTAATTATGACATAGCTTGGTACAAAAAGGGACCAAAGAATATCTAAGTTGATTCTGGCTGTTAGTGGTGTTGTGAGAGTGAAGTACTGATACTCACTGTAGGATTTTTAAAATTACCTAAGTTATTCAGATTTTCCATGGTTTACCTAAATAGATTCAGAGATAATTAAAATGTGTAAACGAGAGGCTTAGTTTAATAATTAATGTAAGTACTTTGTGGTATATTGCAAAATCATTGGTAGCACTATAGGATCTACACCTTAGCATAGGTGTCTTAGGGCTCATTTACTAGACAGTTGTTCAGTTCAGAAAAATTCAGCTAACAGAAACATAAAAAGGGTCATCAAAGAATTAGTATGTATAATGATTTTTTATTGAGGTAGAATCATCAGCTTCTGATCACAAAAAGCTGAATAGACAGACTCTTATAAGACCAAATCCATAGATATTAGAATTTAAAATACTATTATGTATTCTTATGTAAAGAGTGTTGATTAATTTATATTTTCAGATAAAGAGAAAAAGAGTTTACCAGAAAATTCGTATTCAGCATCTTTGCCTGGTATGTTTTAAGTATATGTTAAAAATTTATTATATCGGTTTATTTTTTATTATTATGTCAGTTCTTGTCTCGACTTCCAAATGATAACCCTGAGGAAGACACAAATGTTTGGGTCAAAACGTTGGCTAACCCAATTAAAATATCTTGACTGAAATTCATGATAATTTTGTTTCATCCTTGTCCAGACAACCACTTACCCATCTCTAAAAGTTTTTATTTTACTTTTTTTCCCCACCTTCCTTGCCTTTTTAGCTATATAGGCTTTTTCTTGGGTCAAGGAAAAGGGTGGGGAATTAATGCCGAGTTAAAAGTCCCCCGGGCACCGCGATTTGAATTCGTAATCTCCGGTTTTTTTAGATAGAAAGTAAACTTTATTGTGGGACAAGGTCCCTAATGAATAACAGATATGAACAAAAAAATAAAAACTACATCTTGCCAAAAATTACATTAGTATATATTAAAGAATATATAGTATCTTCAGTAAAATTAAATTAAAACAAGTAAAAATAACACCATTGTGAAAAAAAAAAAAATTATTTAAATGAAAAGAGAACAAAATAAAATAAACATGGGTTGATTTTAAAAAATAAAACTATCAATTTCAACAACCATTCACCTCAGTCAAAATCTGTTTCGCAATATTTATTTCATTGTATAACGTCATTTTGGGATGTGAGAAGGAATTGGTAAAGATGATATTTAAATGAGGACAAGAAAGAGGCATGGCGGATTTCAAAAGACAAGGAATTCCAGAAGGCAGTGGATCGGGCAATAAAGGAATATTCAAATAGTTCTATGGGAAGGGATATAAAGGTCTGAAACACGGGATCTTGTTTTCTGGGAGTGGACCACGGGTTTAAAATGTAGACTGTAGATGTAGGAAGGGTGTCGGATGTTGATCGTTTGGAATAGGGAAGATCCAAGGAAATATTGTCTGCGGAAAGAAGGGAAGAGCCACTTTAACTCGTCGTAAAGGTGGGACACATGAGACCGCCTCGATGTACCGAAGACAAATCTTAAGCACAAGGTTTTTAATATTGCTGGGCAACGTATATTTTGCACATACGTTAGAATGCTATAATAACATGCTCGGTCATCCTGCCTCCATTTTTTTTTACTATGTATTCATTATGTTTAATGATTCATTCAAATAAAATAAAGTTTCATTATGAATTAAAGATTCATTTGTATGTTATACATCTCCCTTTTCTTGGTAAACATTTAACCAACAGAGTTTTAATTACTCTATTATAATAAAATATTTAATGGACTCCTGTCATGCATCTACAAAAAGATTAATAAATGTGTAGTATGCAAGCATGCATTGAACTTGAGTGATATTAGCACTGCCTATTGTGTACATACTTCATCCCAATACATATTATTTATTACATATAAAATTACATTAGATACCAAATAGATTACTTGGCAAATTAATATGGTTATTCTTAAGTTATATTTAAGATAAATGTTTACAGAGACCTGGTTTAACTTGTTGGGGGTCTGTTTGTTTGTCCTGTTAAAGCTACTTCTATTTTTTTATTTTTTTTTATTTTACTTCTTGCTACTATGGTCTATTCCATTTTCTTACATCTACATCCGAATGTATTAAGTTTCATATTCCTCTGAATCCCTATGTCGGACTGTCTATATATATATATATATATTTTTTTTTTTTACAACTTTTCTTTAATCGACTTTTGAGTATTAAATTTAAATATAATTATTTAATTGGGAATAAGGTCACCTATCAATTATTCAATAAACTACTAATTGTTCATTGCTTCTGTGGTTATTCGAAATTTCGATCCTGTTTTTTGGTTGTTTTTTTAAAAGTTAACAATGGGATCCTAAATAGCTCAATCGGTACACAATTATGCTTCCATATGTTTCTAATAACAATTATTTAAAAATTTTAACCTACTTTTAAAATAGAGCTTCGATACCTCAGGCCATGGCCACATTGACAGTTTTAGCACCATCCACCAGCACATATATTAAGCTACTGGATTGTTAAGCATCTACCCACCTCGCTCCTGAGTCCGTAGGCAAAATATTACATACAAAATGTTGTTAATAATATAATAAATGTTGTTCTAGCTTTGAAGAGGATCCCATTGTTAACTTAAAAAAAAAAACAAAAAAAAACCGGGATCGAAGCAATGAACATTTATTGAATTGAATAATTAATAAGTGACCTTATTCTCAATTAAATAATTATATATATATATATATATATATATATATATATATTGTAATGTCAACATTACATGGCATTTAAATAGTGGCGCGAAAGTGGTAACAGCACGAACTACGGGGAGAAAGTGCGTGCGGATGGTGGGGGAAGCAAGCCTCATGTAACTCAGAATGTGACGGGGCGCCAAGAGAGAAGGTTATGAGCCGCCAAGAGAGAAGTTGACGAGCTGCCATGTGAGTAGGTGCTAGCCAGCAAGCTGAGAAAGTGAAAAAGAAATCCTAGCCGGTTCGAGTGTTGATAAAGGCCACTAGTGGAGATTATTTTATGTTGGAAGAGAACACAGCAGAAATTAATTAAGCGGTACAGAAAACGGGACATTCGTAAGTAAGAAGAGATTATTTCGCTGACAGGCGTAAACATTTGGGTGAGTGCTAACAATGCCATTTATGTTGACAACGGGATAGAACCGAAAGTTTAGACCGGGACAAATTATTTTATAAAACTATTTTAAATTATATATTAGTGTAGATTATAGTTATTTAATGTTGAATGAGTGTACAGTTGTCAGAACCCGACCTGAGAATTTATGTTATATGTCAAAATAAATAGTATATTGAAAAAGGAAACTCGTTTGATTTTGGAGGGAAAGAGGAACATTACAATATATATATATATATATATATATACTTTTTTTTTAAATTTAGATCTTGATGATCTGATGGTTGATGAAACTACAAATGGAGAAATATCATTTTCACAATTATTTGATGATAGATGCTCCAGAAATGACAAACCAAAAAACACCATTAGTAGCATTAGAAGAGAGTCAAGTGAGTTATTTTATTCTATATTTTAGTCTTAGATTCTTATTTTAGATTCTTTGTTTGATATTTATTGATCTGTTATAGTTTCTCCAAGAATAAGCTATACTCTTAAAAGGAAACAATATCTTAGTGATTCAGAAGATGAAGAAAGTTTTAATAAAAGTGAAACAGTTTTATATAAAAGATTGTCTGACTGTAGTTCAAGTAAAAAGAAGAAAATAACTAAGAAAATGAAGTATAGCAACAAAAGTCGAGATACTAGCATTTTTTCCCCAATTGGTTGCGATTCTGACTCTGGTAATTCTGACAAGCAACCCTTCGAAAGAAAAAGGAATAATAGAAAAGATAGACATTCTATACCGCTAGGTATGTCTTTTGGTGTTGACAATGATGTTTCTTCTTTAGATCCAAATGAAGACTCATCCCCTGTTTCTGAATGGTGTCAGACATTTCAAGAGAGTAACGCACCTTTGAAGGATCATACATATCTAGAAAATAACTCTGTTTTGGAAAATAATTCCAGTTTTATCCAGGACTTAGTAAAAGAGAAAAACATGAACAATGTTAGTAGTTCAGTTGAAAACATGGTGTGCAATGACCAAATATGTGCAAATAATATTGGAAGGACCATTGAAAACAGCAGAGTGGAAGAGAACATTGATGAGCTTCATACTTGCTCTCTTAATTTAGATAGTAATGAAATCAATACATCCAACTTGGTGAACGATATTAACAGCTTAAATCAAATCATTAAAAAAAGTGATGAAAAACAGGAAATTAACTCTAACAGATCGATAAAGCAGAGAAACTCGACCAAAAAGAATAAAGAATCTAAGTGTCACAAGAATAAGGCTGCTAAAAGTGATAAGCAAATAAAGCATAAAGACAATGGTACATTAAATTGTAATCTTGAAGATTTTGATGGGTTTGATCAAGGTGATATCAATGCTAGTACATTAAATTACATGCTGCATAAATTGACCACACCATTTAATGACGATGATGAAATGATGTTTCCAATACATTACAAAGGGAAAACGTTCATTATTCATTTGTAAGTATCTATTAGAGTTTTTTATCTTCTTTTTCAAAACAGGTTCTTTCGCTATAGTATTATATTAACTTACTATTAATATATTTATATTTTATGTGCATGGTATTTTTTTAACTGCTTAAAACTACTTATTTTATATATCAGCTAATAATTCTCCTTATATGTTTCTTGATCACTTTAATTAATGTTAGAGGTCCATTAAAAAAAAAAACATTTTGGACTTTGAAATCTTATTTATTATTTATAATATAAAATTCCATGGCTTTTGTATCTCTCAAGATGAAATATCGGTATTTATACCTTAGTAAGATGATTTTTTTACTGCTTGGGTTGTATGTAACGTACAGTGTTTGTTTGGTCTATGTAATTTGTAACAACTTTAATTTTAGTTTTGTGGGCCAATTAGCCACCTATTCATTTGTGTAGCTACTCAGTTATCCCAAGTGGACTTTAGTCCAAACCTTAACTGCTTTAAAAATTAAATTCACAGGGGTCTTAGGTTAGGAATTGAATTCAAATCCCAAAGATTCGGTTCATAGTAATAATAGCTGTGTACTAAATCATAGTAACATATCTACAACAAACACTAACCTAATGCTAATGTAAAATTATCCTTGAAGTATAATGAAGTAATTCATGTTTTTTTTTTATTGATATTATTTATATAAACATGAATTATAAAGTTGTTGTTTAAAATTACCTTGAATTTCTGATTTTTCATTTACTAATCATAATACTAATTCTGACACTGTCTAACTCAATTTTTTCAAACATTTGTCATGTAGATAGCTGAAATGGTTTTTTAACATTTGATTGAACGGTGACCATGCATGTGTTAATAATATGTTTCCAAGATATTCAGAGCTTGAAATATACTGTAAATTGTAAGGATTAATTAGCTTTGAAATCAGGCAGTTTTCTTACCTCGTATAAATTTTTGAGAATTGGGCTGAAGAGTATCAGAATTTATATGAGTAGCTTCATAACAAAGACTAACATCTGCCATTTTCAGAAGGTGAAGAAAAAGTCATTTTGTTTTATAGATCCAACTCAAACTGTTTTTAATGATTTTATGTTGTCAAGAATGTTCAATTTGAATCATGGAAAAAAAAAATCATCAAGAGTGGGTTAAATTGAAGCTATGTTTTAAAAATTGGCTGTTACTCTACTTTTTAAAAATGACAGATGTTCATCTTTGATATGAGATAACTCATATACTAGATTTTACTAAATAAAAAAAAAAATAATATGAGGAAGAAGTTTGAAGATGATGATTTTTCCTTGATTCTTCAAGAATATTTGATATTTTAAAACATAAGCATAACATATCGTCGATCCCAAACAAAAGTGTAACAACTGAAAACAAGTGAATTTTTCAGGGGAGCGTTAGATGAATGTTAGAACCAAGTAACTAGGTTAGAAGAAAAGAGACTTATGGCGCTTCCAAGTCGATTTCTTGCTAATTTAGTATGGTACGAGTTTTCCCCATAAAAATTTTTTCAGTCTTGAACTACGATTTTGAAAAAAATTTGTTTTAGTTAATGCACTTTTTTTGGAATGGATAATATATAGTTAACATGTGTATTGTATTCTTTTAAATATAGCTAAATTACTTCATAAAATAATTTATAAAACTTATCTTATTTATATTGAATCATTGACCTAATAATAATCAAGTTGTGGTTAGAGTATTAATTAAGAGAAAAATTGTAAAAAATATTTATTAGATGGTGAAGTTTCAGCCATTATCGCATACTTTATTCATGGCTTCAAAGAACATGATACAATGAAGATAAAAATCATAGTTGTTATGGTCATTATCTACTTTAAAGATTTTCATTGTATTTTATTCTTTGTTACCCTGCTGTAATGTTATTTTTCTTGTTTCCTCTTGAATTCTCATTTAAAGAAATCTAAAGTATGAGATAAAAAAAGTTACACTAATTTTGCATTAATTGATAATTGTATTAAATACTGTTTTCATTTCAGAAAAGATAAATTTGATTCTGAACCTAATGAGAGTGAATACCATTATGTCCTTAGACCGTAAGTAATTTCTTAAATACTTTTACATATGTATAAATTAAATGAGTAGTGGAATTTCAAAATGTTTCTTGTCCATTTTTTTTCCTAATCTTGATTTTATAGCTAAATTGTTCTTAGTTTCCAAAGATTTTGAATTCCACTACTCAAATGGTTTAATATTTTATTTGAAATTCAAACTTAAGTCATAGATATTTAAAAAAGTAGTTAATATGTCTTTTATTCAATATTTTGGTCAAGGACTTGAAATAATTCCTAGCAAAACTATTCATACCCAGGCAATATTTTTTAAAGTTATTTATAGTTCTAAATTTAGATGTTTTGTTTTTTATGTTTTATTAAATACATAAAGCTCAATACAGTAGATACAATAATTAAGATAAAGGACAAACAATGGTAATGATTTTGATCATTCTATAAATAAATATGAATTGATTATATGTTATGATTTAAAAAATGATTTTAACTATTGTCGGCTCGAAAATGTATTTAATATTTAGGAGGATTTGGAGGAAAATGAGAAAAGATCCATGTTAATATTTAATTAGAAAAGTTCACAATACACTATATGCTCTAGTACAACTACTACCAATGTATTGTTATTATTAGTTAATTACTAATTATTTTTTTAAAGAATTTTAGAAGACTAATCTTTGCTCTGTAAGTTTAGAACATTGCTTAGTGTATTCTGTATTCCATCTAAAAACATTGTAGATACTGCTCAATATATGACGTGATTCATTCTAAACTCTATTAATAAAATATAAATTCTAACATAATTAAATCTATTTTGTTTTGTTTAAAAAGTAAATCACTCGAAGGACAATATTTTTTTATCCTTGTTAAATTAATTTTTGTACTGTAATGTTATTTCAAAAGCTTTCAAAGCATGTGATACAGGGAAGCAAAAGCTCACATAAAAAATGTTGTTTTACATAGTCGTCCAGGATATGTATCTGTTGTTATATTTTACTTTTACGAGTTGCACCTTTGGAAAAACATTGTCATTAGTACAAAGTCTTTAACTTTACCCTTTAACAACCATGGAGTTGTGGTAGAACCGTGCCTAGAATAATAATACGTATGTGGTCAGTATAGGTGATGGTAAGTATTCTGTCCTTAAGGAAACTCCACTCTTCCCGCTTATCTTAGCTAAAACGTTAACAATTAAGAAAGCGCATTTAAAATAATGTGGTTACGATGAAAAAAAGGGTAAAAATCTACAGGAAACTAAATTATCATCCATAATTTAAAATCAAAATCTTTGTTTAGATTTACTAACATATTTTAACCCAAGCAGTCTCCATACCCAACCAACCACTATCTGCCTTCCTTTCTTTATCCTCTGGAGTTGCCCAGGGTTCAAGCATATCTCCTCTCCTTTTCAGCTCCTACATTAACGACCTACCTAAATCAATTCTCCATTGTTCCCATCACCTTTATGCAGACGATTCACAGATCTACCTATCATTTTCCCCTCCTGAGTTACTGGGGGCATTTGCCAAGATCCAAGAAGACCTAGATCGAATCAGTGCCTGGGCAAATGTAAATGGATTAAGGTTAAATGCCGCCAAAACTCAGGCCATTGTCATTGCTTCCAAGCCCCTTCTTAGATCCCATCCAGACTTTCCCATCCTTCACCTTAATGACCAGCCAATCTCCTTCTACTCCTCTGTTAAAAACTTAGGATTTTTCATTGATCAAAACCTCCTTTGGAATCACCATATTTCTCATATCTCTCGACGGACAATTTCCACCCTCAAACTATTCCATCGCTTCCGCCATCTCCTACCTCAACATACGCGTAGACTCCTAGTTTCCTCTCTCATTTTCCCCCACTTTGACTATAGCTGTGTGGTGTATGATGGCCTCTCTGTGGAGCTCCGTGATAGACTGAAAAGACTAATGAACAGCTGTGTAAGATTTGTGATCGGGGCCCCAAGATACTCCCATGTTTCTCACCACTATGCTGAGTTAAAGTGGCTTTTCCCCTCCTTCCGAAGACAATATTTCCTAGGTACGTTCCTCTACCAAATCATCAACAGTCATCGTCCTTCTTACGCCTACAATCTTCTCCAGTTCAAATCCTCAGTCCATTCCCTGTCCACAAGATCTCGACCTTCTAATCTTTACATGCCTTCTCACAGATCTGCCTCATTCCAAAATTCCTTTGTTGTTCGCTCTGTCAATTTCTGGAATTCCCTCCCTATCAAAATTCGACATTCCCCATCCATATCCAAATTCAAAATCCTCCTATTCCAATTCCTATCCCAAGAACAGTCAGATAGTTGCTAACCATTCGAGCTGATTTTAATAGAGAATTTGATACATAAAAATTCATTGATTGATTCATTGATACATTTTTATTTTTTAATTCTTTATTATTTTCTTAAAAGTGTATACTAGTGCAAATAGCTTTAAGTGCCTTGTTATAGTATTAATTGTTTTGTATATAGTTTCGTTTTTTTTTTATATAGAATGTTTACCTTATATTTTTTTTACATTATTTCTTTTTTTCGATTGATTTTATTTTGGCCAGATGTGATCTTTTAATTTTGTTCTATTTTGTTATTCTCAAGGGACTGTGTCCCAGAATAAAATTATTTTTCTATCTATCTATCTATTTTAGAAAAATTTATTTTCATTGTTTCTCATTTTTTTTTTTGTTTCAGGTTTAAAACCTTTCAAAATCATTTCGCTCAGACAGAACCTCAGGCAGTGTGAGTTGCTTTTTTCTTCTTAAATATATTGACAGAAATCGGCTATATGAGATTGCTAACTTTTTAAATCTAAATTTATATATATAGCTGAATCTCATTATTTCATATCTTTGTAATCAATATATCTTGATTATTCGCATGATTTTCGCTAGTCCCAATGAAATTTGTTTTTTAAGTTCAGTGAGTACTTACAACTAGAAGAATATTTAAAAAGATGACTTGTTCACACACGGAATTCTAATTTATTGACAATATTCTTAGTAACAATAGCAACTCATACTCATAAAATTTTGTGTTATCTTATAATTCCATATTTTTTTCTCTTCTGAATATTAGTAATCTTGATAATTCTTAAGTAAACCCTTGGAATCTTAACAATATGAATTATTGAGATTTGACTGTATTTTGAAGGATTTTACCCCTAAAGATATTCGTTACCCCTATAATTTATGTTGTGATTGTGACATCATCAGCCATATTTTAATAATGCTAGTATCTGAATAATTTATTTTATTATTATTTTTGTTGTTTTTTTTGTAGAAAAGAAGCAAAAGGTGATGTGATTACTCAGACTGAAGGTTATGGCACTGCTGAAGCATGTGTTGGGTAAGTTATAATTTAGTTTAACGCTTCATTCCTAAACACAACTCATGTATACAATAAGAAGATTATACTAACAATATACAGCCTATCAAGCTTTCATGCAGATTTCTTAGCTTGAATGTAATCAAATATTTGGATGCAGTAGACTCCAACTATTTAGAAATACCTATTGGTATGATAGGTAGAACTATTTTTTTTTATATGACGCCCCAGTGTCAGATCCATTTGATGGGGTCATGCTGAAGCTCTCCTCTCCTCCAAAAAATTAAAAATTATTACTTTTTTTTTCATTATTTCATATCTGTTTCTGTGAGCGCTCTGTACTAAATAATTAAACAATCACAATGTACATGTTATTTTTAAATATAATGCATATACAGCTTCTAAATATTTTTAAAAAAATATTCTTAAAAGCATTATTATTGTGCCTTTTTTATTTATTTTTTTCTCTTGACTGGTGTTCTATGACCACTTAAACATCATTTTATATAGTTTCTTTCTTTTTCATCAACGGTAGTTACCGTTAAGAAAAATAAATAAAGTCCCTAAAATTAAATCCTGAATCCATTGATGTTTGTTAGAACTTATTGATTTTTTATTGTAACAGATGTTTCATGTAAAATGTAGTTGAAATTAAATATAAAGGAAGAAAAGGGAGTCAGATTAGAATTTACTGAGTATATATAAACATGTATAAAACAAAGAACTGAGGTGTGTGTTGTATATCACACGATAGAAGTGAAAACATCAAGGCGAGATTCGTAATAAGAAATATAAATTATAAATAATAGCTCATTATAAAGAGGATGAAATGCTGAAAATTTCCCTCGTTTATAGTATGCAGGTCCGATTTTTAGTTTCTGAGATATTTTAATCCATATCTTCCATAAAACTCGTTATCATTTGTTTTTCGATGCTATTTTCTCTTTTCGCCTCTCTAACACGGCGCCACGTTAAGATAAAATTTTGAATAATACCTTATTAAAGAGAGGATGAAATGATGAACATATTTCACGCTAACAATCTGCAGATCCAATTTTTAGTTTCTAAGATATTTTAATCCATATGCTAAAAACATCAATTAGTCGACTCTAGCCAACTTTACCCAAGTGTTATATATCGGAAATCTGACGGCTCCATCTAATTCACCCTCCACAAAAAAAGTGAAAAATGTGCCTAAAGAAGTTTTTTTTTCCAATTTTATTGTGTTTACTGAGATAATATTAATAAGGATTTACTGCAGATAATTTTAGTGTTTAATAAGGCATTAAGATTACTGTTTTTGTTCAAGCTGATTATGAATATAAATCATAAATCAAAAGATGATTCATATTAATTCATTATTTTAAAATTAAGGCTTAAATTTTATAATAATAGGTGGTTTGCTCCTTCCAGCTAGATAATGTCCACCATTTCCAATTCCTGGTTCATGAATAAAAATGTTTTTTTCGGTTAATGAATGTCATTTAATATAATTTTGAAATGATATTTGTGCATATCTATAATCAGCTTTATATAAACCTTTTGTAATTATTTTAAAATCCATGTATGTATAAACATTATTATTAATAAATTTTAACTATTGGTTTACAGCCGCGATGGTGAAAAAACTGCTTTCATTCAAACTGATGATTATCAAGTGATGGATGCATGCGTTGGGTAAGTTTTTAAAATAATTTATTATTCAGTAATTTGCACATGGATCTACTAATAACTTTAGTAAATTCATATTGAAAATAAAAATTCTATATTGATTCTGCCTTATTATCCCAAATAGATCTTTTACATTTCATAAGATTTCAAAAGTAGCTGCTAAACACAATTATCAGTTGTTAAAAAAATTGATATAAGTAATTGTTTCAAAATACTTCTCTTTTCCTCTTTTTTACTGTATTATTAGTATAAAATTTTAATAATTGATTTGCAGCCGAGATGGTGAAAATACTTGTTTCAGTCAAACTGATAGTTACCGAATGGTAGACGCATGCGTTGGGTAAGTTTTTAAAATTATTCATTATTCAATAATTTGTACGTGAATCTACTAATAACTTTATTAAATTGTTATTGAAAAAAAAAATCTTTATTGATTCAGCCTTGCTATCCCAAATAGAGCTTTTACATTTCATAAGTAGCTGCTAAATACAATTATCAGGTGTTACAACGTTTGATATAAATAATTGTTTCAAAATACTTCTCTCTTCCTCTTTTTTTTCTGTATTAATATTCACAAATTTTAATAATTGGTTTGCAGCCGAGATGGTGAAAATACTGGTTTCAGTCAAACTGATAGTTACCAAATGGTAGACGCTTGTGCGGGGTAAGTTTTTAAAAATTATATATATATAACTGTCAAATAAATCTATTAACAAATTTCTAATTCATCAAATTTATTTTTAAATAAACATATTAATTCATTGTTGATTCTTTTTTAAAAATGGGGGTTTTTACTATTTGGGGATATATCTTGCCGTCATCATGAGCTCTCAACTTTAATATCGTCGGTTTGTGGCAAAAAGTTATTAAGTACAGTCTTGACGGAGCTATACTTTTAAGTACATTTTTGTGAATTTCTACTTTATTTATTGATACAAAAGCACAGTAAATACATTAAAATGACAACTCTTTTATATATAAAATATATACCTAGACTAATTGCACTATGTTCTGTTTTCACTGAGGAAAAATTGATCAGAGTACTTTGTGATTTAATTTTACGTAACATTTTGTAATAAACTGACGATATGTTAAACTTGTTGTAAAAGTGTTTGAACATATACATATGTACAGCTTAGCGCTGTTAGTGAGGCAATGCAAGGAAGTGGTTATCTTATTACTGGCCAGTAATTTTTTTTTCCAATTTTATTCGTTATAACTTTTATCGCTGGTGAAAAAAAAAAATTGACCAACAAAAAAAATTAACTCGCCTCCCTTTAAATTTCAGACTTTATGTAGTCACTAATATTCATATAAAACAATATTTGTCAACAGTCTCTAAAGCTACTAAGCCAATTTTTATTCAGATTTGACATCAAAATCACAGGTCACACAAAGATGAACCGCAGAATTCGGCATTACCGTTCACCTTTTTGTTTCAAAACGGCAGCTGATTAGAGATTTCATTCACCGGTGTTCTTAGTTGTTTTTTTTTCCTGCTGGTAGATGTATTTTTTTTTTAGATTTTGTACCAACGTTATGGGGGACACCAGGATGATCCTTGGAACTCTACATTACCATCTGCCATTTTTTTTCATTTGCTCATAAATCAGCCATTTTTGTAGATTAAGAAAACATTTAGGTTATCTATTTCGAAATAAATTATATATTAGTGTGAAGCATTTTAAATTTAAACGTCATTATATTCACTTCATATTTTTTAATTTTTTATTTTAGTTTATTAATGCATGTTTTTTAAAACTTTTGCTAGTAAAGAATTCTTAAACTATTTTTGAAAAAGTGAGGAATATTAATTGCTAAAATTGGCAGACATTATATAAGTACATACATTTACATTTCATAAGATTAAGTAGATGTCAAACTCAATAATCAGATTGTTTTTCTCCAAAATTTATATAATTGAAACCTGGGATTGCCAAAGGATTAAGTGCCTTCAGCAAAATTGAAGTTATAATTTTTTTCTGATGGCACTGAGACTTTTGCGTTTTCATGCCTTAACAACTGTAAACTGTATGTATATATTGTTTCCTTTATTACTATTCATAAATTTTAACTATTGGTTTACAGCCGAAATGGTGAAAAAGTTGGTTCTATTCAAACCGATAGTTACCAAGCCGTGGATGCTTGTGTGGGGTAAGTTTTTTTAGTTAATCATTTTACAATTATTTCTCCATCAACCAATAATCACATTTTTTTGGTAGAATAGTTATTTTATGTCTTATCCGAAGGTAAGGAAGTTTGACATTTATGCAGGGAATGAAAATTTCTGTCCTTATAATCTAAAATCTCCACTTGTTTTTTTAAGTTTTGATCATCAGCAAACAAATTTGATTTATATAAATTTTCAGGGATTGTGTTAATGTGATCTACCTGAATGGTCCTATATCAATTCATCAAATTACTTTTAACAATTCAAATGAATGTAGTATTTAATTTTATCAATCTTCAGACTTTAATTGATGGGCACAGCGCGGATGTTTAATCCGAATTTAATTAAATTTTTATAAATAATTTTTCTTGTATAATTTTCTAAAAAATTTCCAAATAAAGCATTAAAACATTAACATTATCAGCAAATGACAAATAAACTTAGACTCGCCAAGGCTCTAATTGAGGACTGTTACCTGAACAAAGTAACCAAATTTTTAAAAGAGATGGGACTTTACAGTAATATCTAAAACTCTATCAAGTAGACGGAAAATTCAAGAAAACGGGTGATGATAGCCTCAGAAGTTGTTTGTCCTTTAAACAAAAATAACATTAATATTTAAATTAATTCATGACGTTATGGATCCTTTCTCAGAAAATGAAGAATTATTATCATTATTATTATGTTTATGAAGATTTACGAGGGACTTATGGTAATAAGTTAGTCTGAATCATGAGTTAGTGTACTTCATATAAATGCCTTGTGCAATTCTCTACTGTGAACTGATAAAATGTCTCCTCATGGTACCTTTACTCCGCTTCCTTCCTTATTATTTCTAAATCATTTGTGCACCTAAAATCTTCTGATGACCAATATGTATTTTTTAAATCTATTTATTTTTATACCTGTTAACATGTTTAGCTACTTCAAAACAAGTCATTTTTATATTTAAATTATTTTATACCTATGTGGTGGAATGTCAATGGAAAGCTATGGTATGAATTTATCATAGTATATTAATTTATTAGCGATTGTTTTGTAGCACAACATTATTTTTTAGTTAAGATGTTTTAAATTCGGTTATTACGGATCAATTTGAAATTAAAATTGTATAAAATAATGGTTTGTTATATTTAAAATGTATTTATATAATATAGCTACATATTTTCCAATATTTAGATACATACATTTTATTTAGAAATCAAGATATTTTATTTTATCATTTATTTATTTGTATTACGGAAAGACGTTTACGGGTGAACATTTTTCATTGCATATAATAATTTATCTATCTTACTAGGTCCATAAAAGAAAAAAATCATTTGGAACCAATATAACAAAGCTAATTATTATCAACTATCGACCCTATTCCAGTGACGTCAGTGCTATAAAGTTGATATTATCACCACATAAATTCACCAGATTTCACATCCCCTTCCCTTTAGTCGATTATCTGTCTTATTCAGAGAAGCCGTTCTGTTATCTATATCTTATTTATCAATTGCAAATTGATATTCTTATCTCTGATAATCTTGGTACCAATACATGATGCTGCTTTAGCCTTGAAGAATTCTTCCTTTACTGTTTTGGCCTGACTTGATGCCATTTACATCCGATTTATCTTAAAATTATTTGAATTTTGTTATTAAAAAAATCATTTAGTAGGTGTAGGTTTTATATTTCTGAGATGTTAGGAAAATTTTATTTTCATTCCAATATTGGAAGGTAAGATTACCTTCATGTGTTTTAAATCATGATAACCAAATAATGCATCTGAAATAATAAAGCCTACAATTATAATTAAATTAAAAAAAAAAAATTTTCTAAATTTAAATATACTTTTCAGCATTAATATGAACATATGATTCTGTTTTCTTATATTGTTTTAACTCTCGGTTGAAATTTTTTCTTTATTTTTGAAATATTATCGATGTACTAATAAATTTAATAAGCTAAGCCTCAGTTGTTCTCCATTTTAACAATTCAGCTAGTTGCATACCACAGACTTTCAGTAGTACATGAAACCATACAATACCATTTCTCTGACTTTTGTCAACTCTCATTACTAAGAGCCCAAGACCTTCTGATTCCCTTCCTATATTTTATTAAAACACTTCAGTTTCTATTGAAACAGTGAATTATATTCTTTGGAAATGGAAGTCAATTTAATAAGATTATGGATTATATCATATCTACAGGGTGAAAGGAAAATTATTTTGATCGAAAAATGTGGAATCATCCGTTAACCAGATAATGACTTTTTACATTCTGTTCTCTCAATTTTACATTCTGTACAGTTTTATCAGGATATTTCCTGACAAGAGAGCACTGTCTGATTTTAGTCAGCTATAGCTATGGGGATTCAAAATTAGCTGCTTTTTGTTATATTTTTCCTGTCTCATATGGCATCCCACTCAATTTATTTTGTGTTATACTTAACTTTTCCTTTCACTATTTTAACAATTGTATTCCTAAGTAGTTAGATTTAGTAAGAATTGGAGACATGAAATATATAGCTAAACATAGTGTTCTCTATATATTACAATTATAAAAAAATTAATTATAAGTACCGTTGATTCAAAAGGAATACTTAGTGTAATGTTTCACAAACGATTGGTGTAATGTTTTGAAGATAGGAAGGAATATCCAAACACATTGCTTCAATATATATATATATATATATATATATATATATATATATATATATATATATATATATATATATATATATATATATATATATATATATATCTATGTATATATATATATATATATATATATATATATATATATATATATCTATGTATATAGGGGCCGGTATAGCAGAGTGGTTAGCGTGGTATACTAGTAAAGTTACTATACGTATACGTGGTATACTAGTAAAGTATCATAGGATCAAATCTGGGCCCTACTTCCCACTACAGCTGGTCCCCACAGGAAGTTAGACCATACCCTCTTAATTAGGGGAGGCCTACAAGTTTGTAAGACTTGAATGAAGAGGGTGTTAAAAAAAAAATATATATATATATATATGTCTTTGAGTCTCACTAAAACTGATAATAGAAACAGATAAAATTGGATTACAAATAACAAAAAATACCTGATAGTAAGCTAATAATTTTTTTTTATATTTGGGTTTTATACAACTTAAGGAGTCATATCCCCAACACCCAAAAGCTACTGCTCTCTGTCCATCCAATCTCCTTCACGAAGCCCTCTGGCTGCCATGCTTTCCTCCACGTCCTCTATCCATTTCTTCTTTGGCCTTCCACGCTTCCTTCTTTCAGGTGGCATATAGGTATACATTTTCTTTGGCCAGCGGTTCTCATCCATCCGCATTAAGTGGCCGCACCACTTTAACCGTTTGGACCCGATCAGGTGAAGGATGTTCTTTTGACATCCGACCTTGTCTCTAATAGCTGCGTTTGGGATCCGCTAGATTCTAGATGCCATAGCTTCTTCTCCAGAAATCCATTTCCATGGAAAGCAACTTATTTTCCATATTTTTTGTCATTGTCCAAACTTCTGATCCGTAAGTGGCTACGCTTTCTACAAAGGAATGGTATATCTTCTTTTTAGTTTTCAATCTTATTTCTTTACTCCATAGGGTTGAATTTATCGAACTTATGATTCTTTTCCCATTATTTATTTTATGTCCAATGTCAACCTCACTACCTCCCTTTGAAGATAGCCGGTATCCGAGTTACTTGAACTGCTGGCTGACATTTAGTGTCCAGTCATCAATTTCAAGGGGCAAATATGGAGCGTTGAAAACCATGCACTCTGTTTTACTTTTACTGATTTTCAGACCCCATCTGGAATACGTGTCTAGCAACTTCCTCATCATATAGCTCACATAATCCGAATCCGATGCAATTATGACTTGATCATCGGCATACTGCAAATTGTAGATGACATCATTCCTGATTTGAACACCCATTCCACAGCACGATCTTTTCCAGTCTTTAAGGGCTTGTTCTATATAAATGTTGAAAATCAGGGGTGAAAGGCAGCAGTAAAAATTTTACTGTAATGTAAAAATTTTACATTGTCAATTAAATGAAATGAAATGAAAAAAATGTTTTATTATTCTGGGACTGTTGTCCCTTAAGAACAAAATATGAATACAGATTATATGTCTGTGTGGCTACATTAAATTGCATATTTACAATGGAAAGTTGATTACGATTAAAAAATCAGAAAGAGAAAGAAAAGAACAAGTAAATTGTACATATGTATGAGAAACTAAAATAACCTTAATAAATTTGAAGGTAGTCTCTGTGGCATGCTCAGTATTTCTCTTAGATAATATTCACAATCATTCGTATTGGAGGAAAGGAGTAGGTGCATTAAAGAGGAGAGGTTTAAAGAGGAAATGATTGAGCGTGTCGAATTCAGCTGGGATGGAATCAGAGGGGAGGCGGATGTATTACAAAGGATTTGCCAATCGCAGCAGTTTCGTGTGAGGAGGAGGATAGAGGTCGGAAGTAGCGATTGGGTGGGACGGGATGGGATGGAATATTTGAATTGTAAGCTGTGAAAAATATACGAGGGTCGATTGGGTTCTAATGATTTGGATACAGAAAAGGTGGCTGGAAGTACTGATGGCGACTAGATGGGTAGAGCCACCTCAACTCAGTGTAATACTGGGTAATATGCGTATCTTGAGATTCGAAATCAATTGTAGTTTTCTAGTACGCAATTCAGTAGGCTGTTTAAGTTTTGACCTCGGATCTCCCGGAGTCCTGTACACCATACAGCCAGAGTCGAAGTGGGGGGAAAACAAGGGAGGAAGACTAGGAGTTTGACGGGACTGTATATGGAAGAGATATGTAGGCGATTTGAAACTGTTTTAGGGTGGAGATAGTGCGACGGGAAATTTGGGAGATGTGAGGTTTCCAGGATAGGGATTGATCAAAAGTAACACCTAGGTTAATTAGATCTGCTTAGAAGAGAAATAGTTCCAAAAAGGACAGATCCAAATACTAAGGAAGTTCTAATATATGGCTGTGAGACCTGGACACTTACCAGCGCCCTAGAAAAAAGTATTGAAAGATTGAAGAGGGAAATCCTTTACATGATAACTGCAGCAATCTGGGATCATAGTACTAACGCATGGAGGAGAAGGGTCACTGAAGAACTGCTTAGAAATCTATTCAATCGATATCTCATGATATTAAGGCTAAGAAGAGAGGTTAAGATGGGTGGAATATGTAGCTTGGACCAATCCATCAAGAAACCTCTACACAATAAAAAATGCCTCAATAATCGGCAAGAGACAACTTGGGAGTCCAAAAATCAGAAGGATAGGTAGATTTTAAAAAAATATTGCAAAGCTGCAAGCGAAAAACCGGAAAGTAGAAGTTGGAGAAAAAAAATTAAATATTTAATTTTTTATGGTTGTTTAAAATTCAGAAATGATTCATGAAGGCAATAGTATAATGAATCATTGTTTGGGGATTTATTTATTTTTTCAGGGCAAAAATCAATGTCCTTTTAGGTCTTCATGTTTAATTAATCAAATTAAAACAACTTTAAATGATTCTTTTTGTCAACTTATTTACAATTAGTTATAGCTGCGTAAATATATTAGGTTGCTTCAATACAGAACAATGATAAAATATTATTGAAATTTACAAAGAACATCTGTTAATTTTAACAAGACACAGGGTTATTGATAGTTATTTTGCAAAACTATCCTTGATTCAATAAGAATATATTTCAGAATCTATCGTACCAAACTGGTAGACTTAGTGATCAGTTTTACTCCTGGGTTTGTCCTCAACACATTCAGAAACTCTTTTTGTATTCTTCAAAATGGTCTTCCTAAACCTCAGCACTTTTACAAAATATTTCTGTTTACCAAATATTTTAGATTTTTCTTTTTATAGTAATCTTAAAAGGTATTCATTTTTATCAAAACGAGCCTACTTATAATAGAATTAGCTAAAATAAATTATAGTTTTATAATGTCCTCATACAGAAAATTAAACCTTTGTTTTTTAATGAAATAGTAGGAATTTGACTGTTCAAATCCATATTTTACAATAGTTGAAAGATTAGTCATGAATATGTAACCATTAAAGTGATTTTCTGGCAGATGTTTATACATTTATCTCTATTATCCACATCGTTTATTGATATCAAATTTATTTTTCAGACCTGAAGCCAAAATATCAGAAGTTTCACAAACAGATAGATACCAAGTTAGAGATTCCTATACAAAGTAAGTTGTTATATAATTTTATTTTAATGTCAGTTTATATTTGTTATTTTTAATGTTTCAATTTTTTCTAAAGGGACAATTTTCTACGGGACCAAACTCATTAAAAAAAAAAAAATGTAATAACTTCGAGGAATCTTATTTCTTAGGGCATGTTAAAAAATATTTACATAATATGTTAAACAATATTTACAATAATGAATGTTAACTAATAAAATCACGGAATATGCCGAGAAAATTATGACAGGCCAATAGTCCGTGGTACAGACCGCTTTTTATCAAATTATTAACATCCACCTAAAACTTCTTGAATAGCCTCATCTCATCGTAACCTACAACTTGTTTATTTACCTACAACATATACCAATATTTCAAAATGGAGTTAAAGTACTATATAAGAAAACAGCTCATGGCATTGACTTATTGTAAAAAGTTACTAAGTACATTTTTGATGGTATTGAATTTTTAAGGAGGAATATCTCTACACTCCAATGGCTACAAAGTATTCTCAACGGTGCTATATCAGAGACTCCGCCCAATAGCAGAGCGAGAAATTGGATTGTATCAGGCAGAATTCATGAGAGGTCGAGGGACTGTGGATCAGATCTTCTCAATAAGAGCAATCCTAGAAAAATCCAGAGAGTATAATATTATCATCTCTTTATTGATTTTCGGATATCATCTCTTTTTGTGTATTTTGACATAATTTATTGATGAAAAACAATTAAGTGTGCTTAAGTGATACAAACGTTTATATGTTAATTATGTATATCAAATATTACATCTAGCGAGGGATGGACCATTCCTGGCGGAACGATTTGCAAAACGAATTCCCCCACTGGAACGGTTCGAAACGGAACAAGAGCCTAGGAAACTGCGTTCCGCTGGAACGTAATCTAAGGCAGAATATAAATGTCTTTAGGTAAATGTTCGGCAGAAAAGTCAAATAGGTACAAAAGGGATTTGTAGCAATTAAGGTTAGTGCACTGATTGCTGCCAAAGTGGATTAATGGAATAGTCGAATAATTTGTTTGCTTCAAAAGTGAACCATTAGGACTAAATTTAATTTACTGATTGATTATATATAAAGAAATATAATTAAATAAAGTATAATAAGATCCTAACCATATGCAAATTTAAAAAAATGTTAATTATAATGCCAAGAGTCAGATGAACTATTAAAATAATAATAAACTAATTATAAATAACTGGTAGGCCCGTGCAAAAAATTCGCATAGCATATTTTTATCAAATGCCAAATTAATAAGAAAATAAAATAATGTAACGTATCAAAAGGTAAAGGAATCAATTGTTACTTTATCGAGAAATATAATCGACAAAGGAAACAAAATTAATTTAAATCTTCATTTTTGTTTGGAACCAACATATTTACAAATTTCAATAAGCTGTATCTTTGCGAAAAATTGTCCGATTTCAATGATTTTTTTTTCCTTTTGTAGACAATTTAGTAATGTTTTATATAATCATGGAATAACCAAGGAAAAGTGTGTAATTTTTTAGTTATTCGCAAATAAAGTTTCTTTTCTTTCATAACTTGTTTGCCTGAATTTTCGGGATGATTGGACTATTTTGCCGCCTGAAGGAGAAGGAAGCCTTCGAAATTGGTGGCTCAATCTTGAGATTTGGTGAAGAATTAACGATGATATGGCTTGCCGGTCAAAAACACCATCGATAAATAATATAAACTCCTCCTGTCTCGATCATAAGAGACCTCAAGTCGACGAAATGAGACATGTATCCAATGCCAGTACTACAATTAACGTCAGGTTGTGTGGATGCGAACCCATGCCTTGCGTTATCTCGAAAATAGTACGTTTTTTGGGCTTAAAAACGCAGAATCCGATAGTTCCGGAGGAACTATCAGGGTCTTGCTGTACGCATCAAAATCTTCAAGGTCCAATTTGTCCCGCATCGATCTACAGACCTACCACCGTTCCAGTATTGAAGCCTAGCAAAATATTTGTATCAACTTTATTTATTTTAGAAAGAAAAACAAAAGTGGAGAATACGATTCGCTAACCCCCGTGAAATTCTGAATCCAACGTACCCATTCATGGTATTTGAGCATGACAGTAGCTTATATTTGGTACAAAACCGATTTCGAGCCTTACTGTAATAATATATGTGGGGATGTAAAATAAATATTTTAATCAAATTTTATTATTATTAAGACTAATGATAAATATGTGGTTCTGTTGTGAAAATAAAAATTTTCATAGGAGATATATTGTTGGTTTATTTGGATTTAGAAAACCTAAGATTTCACATTTTATTTTATTTTTAGCTACCTATAAAAGTCATGAGAGATATCACAATTGTTTAAACATTTTAAAAGCTATAAACAATATTGATTGTTATTAAATATTGGCTTTTTTATTATTATTGTATATTTTTAATTTATTTGTTAGTCATTTTCCAATGGCAGAACGAAGAAGAAACAGAACTAACAGTCTCGTTAGTCGTAATAAAAATTTCTTGAACCGGTTTATTTGGATTTAGAAAACCTAAGATTTCGTATTTTATTTTATTTTACTTTTAGCTATCTATAAAAGTCATGAGAGATATCAATATTGTTTAAACATTTTAAAAGCTATAAACAATATTGATTGTTATTAAATATTGGCTTTTTTATTATTATTGTATATTTTTAATTTATTTGTTAGTCATATTCCAATGGCAGAACGAAGAAGAAATAGAACTAACAGTCTCGTTAGTCGTAATAAAAATTTCTTGAACCGGTTCGATGAAACCATCGAATTCCTTCTCTGGAACGATTCGGAATGATTCCACTCAGAACAGTCTTTCTCGTTTCCCCCGGAAGGGTCTTTCTCGTTCCGAGGGGCTTTGGAATCTTGTTTTATCGGAATGTGAACGTTTTTACATTGCCTTTTCGGTACAATCTGAGATTTCATTCTGGCATTCTTTTGGAATGATTATGATACGGATTAAAGCGTCTACGTGCGTTGTTATTTTTAATTTAAATTAGCAAGTCTTGAAAAAGCAAATTAGAAAACAGAAATGGATTTTTATTCATTCATTTTTTTTTTGTAACTTGGGATAAGGAAATATTTAATGAAAATTAAGACAAATATAAGGATTTTACCAACCAAAAAATATTTTTATTAAAAAATTATAGATAAAAACAAATAAATCTATAATATAAAATGTAGAACGAATTAAAAAACCAAAACGTTAAAAACTTTATATAAATTAATTAAAAAATTGGAATTTAAACAACAATTTTAACTTTATCAGCTGATAGTCTGGTCAGATGTTCGTTAATCAACATGCCACTTTTGGAAAGATTCACTGACATGGAACCAAAGTGGCCATTATACTCAACATTTCTTTGTCAATGATGTGCAAATTATGGTAGTCTTTCCGCAGGCCATACCACCCACTTAATAGGACCCTTGTCATATAAAATATCCTTTTCTAAGTACATGTTCAATTCAATCATTGCCTTTGATTCAGGTGTTCCATTTGGAGAATGTTGCTCTTGAGCTCTCATCAATGTTCTTAGAACTTCCAGGTTTTTTTTTTTCTGTACTCCTCTCCGTTTATCTTCATTTTCCTCTGCCTCAATGATTTTTCAGTCATTTTAAATAGTTTTAGTATTACATATATTTGCTTCATTATTCTCTATCTAGAACAAGAACTGGAACGAATTCCAGTAGTGGAACATTCCGTTCCGTTCCGTTTCGACCTGTAGTCGGAATTGCCCATCCCTCCAACTCGGCCACTATTTTCTGATTTCACAAATGGAAAATCCATCAATGTTCTCTAAAGTAACTTAATTACTTTTTTATTAAACCGAGGACATATTTATTTATTATCTCAACAATTTCATTTCAGTAATAATGTCAGTCAATATTGGTGATATCGATATTTTTGATCCGTTATTATCCTAATATTGATATCACGGACAGATATCGATATCGATAAGAAATATCGGAACATGCCCGATATCGCAATAACCCTAATCACAGGTATGCTAGTGAATAAAAAAAAAAATTATTTGAGAGCGCTTGGTATTGATCACAAAATATTGCTGAAATTGTATTATTTTTTAATTAACCACTTAGATTATTGGGTTATAGTTGTCTCAGCAATTTGATAAGCAGTCTTCTTTATTAAGTCTATTAATTATTAATTTCAAAGGAAAGTTGAGTGTATAAAAGTGTTCGTCTAATTTCATTATATTTCTTGATCTTGCTGTGGAATCTTGGACATGTTCATGTTTTCTTAAAACATGATTGAGTGGTAACCGATTAATGAGAAGCACCAGACACTTTTAAATTAATCTTTTATCAATTAATGACCATAGTTTCACAATTTGATTTTTAAGAATTTTTTTTTTTATTTAATAGATCTATAATGATTTGATATTTTATTCTTCTTCCATTGAGCTTGTTTTTAACTATTAAAAATATGTTTTTTCCTCGAAAGCCAGATCTTTCAGGAAGGAGAAGCTAAAACCGTAAATTGTAAACTTCTTCATTTATATCAATTCACTTTTATATATTTTTAAAATGCAATCCTTAAATTTATAATTTAAATAATTATGATTTTCTCTTCTGAAGGATTTAGCTTTTGAGGATGAATTATATTTTTATTGTTAAAAAAATCTTAAGATAAAAATAAAATATCAAAATAGTTTATATCATTAAATTAAAAAAAAAAAAAAATAAATGTTAAAATAAAATATTTTATTAGTAAAGATAAAGATTGTATTACTGTTGACTGTAGTGTGTTGACATCTGGATTAATCTTTACTCTTGAGTCATCCCATATTAGAAACTTAACATAAACAAATAACTAGAGTAAAACAATCTGTGAATCATCTCCAATTAAAGTTAGTATATTTATTGACAATTCTTTAATTAAACGTTATAATTTTTTTTTTAATAATTTCTTTTGATTCAATTTTTTTTTTTATCCAAAAAAGGTTTAGTAAAAATAATTAAAAAAAAAAATCTGATTAACTGATTTGAAAATAATGGATTTTTTTGCTGAAATGACAGGAAATTATCTATTATTACATCTTAAATGATTTATAAGAAAAAATTATCCTCTCATACCACCCATCATTTTATCTGACAGATTAAGTAAAACTGTAATCAGGACTGGATAAGGAAGTACTGTTCATTATTACAATTTTAAACGAAAACCGAGCTTTAATAACAGAAATTTCAATAGAATTATCACATATGTGATATTTTTTAGAACCATAGCCAATAAATAAAAACTTACCAAAATGACAAAAAAAAAAAAAAAAAAACATTTTAAGAGGCAATGAGTTGATAGGATTATTTCATAACAGGTTGTTTGTAGATTAGATAATCACAGGATTTTCTCTATGCTTCGTATATTATTTGTTTTTATTTTTTGGAGTGTTTAAAAAAAAAGTTCTATTCTTTTTGTCAAGAATGTAAAATAAATAACAACTCAAAAGTGTTTATTGAATATTAAATATTTAATTGTGGGTTTATGGTTGTCTGTAGTAAATAATGATTCTATTAATAGCTATCAGCCCTGATGAAGGCCTGAACTTCGGGTCGAAACATCAGAAAATGTTAAAATAAATATTATTATTTATTTTTGCCATTTTTATTTTTATCACTCCAACTATCCTTCTCTTCATTAAATATTTAAGTATGGTCTGTTACTAACAGATCCACAAAATAAAATTCTGATATGGTTATTGTGTCAACTGTTATTAAGTAAGAAGATTAATCCTATTAGTAGCTTAAATGCAAATGTGTACTGACAGGTGCACAGGTCTCGGAAAAAACTACTACATCTTCAAAATTAAAGATTTTTTTTCATATTGAATTAGCTTTTTACTTTTATCTTTGTTTTATTTCGAAATTATCGACAAATCATATTTGGTTATATAATACTTTTATGAATAATTTTTGAGATTTTAAAGATTAACAAGCTGTGTATTTTTTTTTATAAATAAAATACTTAAGTTTACAATTCACTTTTACGTAAACAATATTTGGACTTAAGTCCATCTGCAGGGTAGTTAGTGCTTTACTTACCTAAGTCAGAGTGTCCAACAGCCTTAAAGATTGGGAATTTTATTGTAAATTATGCTTAAAAAACTGGAAGTCGTCAGCACTTTGTATAATTATTTTTTTTTGTTTTTACAAAATTGTAGAAAATATAGAGAACAATGCAATATCAGTAATCAAAACTAAGGCTATAAAGGACGCCTAGAAAGTTTTGTTAAGGAAAGGGAAAAAAAGAGACACTGGAAGCTATAGATAATTCTAACAAAATACAACCACTTGCAAATCTTCCCATATTTTTCTCTCATCTTCTTTTATAAAAATATTACGACAGTTAATCACAAAAATTTAACCAGAATTTCTTCTATTGCAGAAACAAATGCACTTGTAGATGCCCTATGCTCCAACAGGAGTCAACGGTGATCATAAATAATAATACAGAACGGTCTTAATGATCCAAACACGTATATTGTTATTGTAGATTAGCCTGTTCAAATTATCAAAGTTTAATTTTAAAATAACGGAAAATTTGCATAAGGTGAAAAAAATATATCATTACCAATTAAATATAAACAGTGCAAAAAAAATAATTACTTCTGAAAATGATCATAAAATGTACACTGGGTCTCTCTCTGATTTGTTGCTAAAGAAAATGCCTGAGCCTACAAATTTCTTAGAAGTACCAGACTTTGGTAGTTGACATTGCATCTATGACTTACGAATGAAAAATAAAATGGGGGCAAAAAATTTGTCCAGTGAAATAAAAACTAATATTAAAAAAGTGTTCCTCACCTACGTTTGAAATTATAAAACCATCTTTTATTGGCCTGAAAAATCTGCTTTGTCGTGCTTTCTAAATCAATTTTTAAAGAAAAACTTTGAATTTTCAGCTAATATATCCCTGAAAATTTGAGACCTTTGTAAAAACCATATGTATCCTCAACTTCTGGATGACTGCCTAGTGTTAATGTTTTCTGTTTAGAGACACTACAATACAATTTCAACATTATCACGCAAATCAATTCCTGTTATATTTACTGAGAAACAGAGCCTTTTCTATTCCGTTTCTCGTCAGTCAACTTTGACTTTTTTTTCTTTCTTGTTCGGATTACTTGGGATTAGGATTATCGGGACGGTCCTAAATATAAAAATCATGAAAATTAGTAAAAGAGAATCCTAAGCCATGATGTAATGATGATTATACAATTTATAGAAAAGAAAGGAGGAGTGAAAATACTAACATAATTTTTATATATATTAAAGTTCAATGTTATGTCATGGCTTAGGTGTAATGATGATTATACAATTTATAGAAAAGAAAGGAGAAGTGAAAATACAAACATAATTTATATATATATATATATATTACTTATTATTATCACCTTCAATATACACTGCTCTTCTAAATTTAATTGTAGGCCTCAATTAAAAAAAAGCTATATTTGTTAGACAATATGATTTAAAAAGAAAACATATCGTCAATTTATTTCGAAAATGTACTAATTATATTTTTGATGAAGCTTAACAAAAATCTTCTTAAATTCCTGTAAATTTCGACAGTATCGATATGAAAACAACAATTAGTGCAATGATATGACACATATACTTTTATATATCAAATATAGCTAAAATGACTGCACAACCTTCTGATTTCACAGATGAAAAATTCATCAAAATACTTAGTATTTAATTTTAGGAATTTTTGTAATAAACTGATGTCATACAACATGAAGGTGAAAGTGTAGAGTAAACATTGATATAAGACATATATTAGTTCATGTTAACCAAAAATGGATAACATTTATGATAAGGAAACAGCATTTTTCTAAAATAAATAAATGCTCCACTTAATCAAAATTCTTATAATCCTAGACTATGGTTCTGTGACAAAAAATAGCTCTGTTGGCTGCATTGAACACAAATTTTACAAATAGGCATCTTATTATTTAAAATAAGAAAATTCTATGTAAAATGAATATTAAACCTGGAAGAAACACTCAACCTTTCATCAAATTGTTCATTTTGGGATAATTTATAGATGAGCATGAAACCAAAATACTTATATTTATTTACAAAGGTATGACCTCGCCTTTCAGTTACAACTTTTCGTTTCTTGATAATTTACCCTTATTTTCAAAACAACTATTACTCGTAATTAATTCATGTCCTTATTAAGCTTTAAAATTATCAAAATGAAAAAAAAAATCAGTATAGAGTAGCTATTGCCTTGAAGTTTTATTTAACAAAAAGTAAATAAAAAATTAATTATATAAAACTATTTATATCTTTCATTATAATCTTTATTTGATGGACAAATTTTTTATTTGGGATTTTGATTATTTTTTCGGCTAATAATTGAATGTTTCCCTTCTAGTTGGTAAACTTAAAAAAAATATAATTTCTGTGAAGATAATAACTTATCAAGCAATGGAACATTTAATGCCTACAGATATAGAGATATAGAATGAATCAGTAGAATTCTAGAGAAAGCTTTAGTATCTTTCCACATCTGTCAGCATTTGTTAGTTTTATGCAGTCAGTTGGCTAGAGTGAAACTAGTATTAAGGAAATCAAATACCTGTCATGCGTTTTTTTCTGTAAGAAATTAATTCCTTTTTAAGATAAGTTATGTTATTTATGTATTTGTTGATTTTTACTTTTTTATATTTTAATTACTTATTACGATTTTTTTCTGATACAATTGTAATTAAATCTGTCTTGTATATATGATGGTGCATTGTTTTGTTTAGTTCTAAACAATAATAGAATGTTTTATTTATGTATGTTTATTAATACAATTCTTAAATTAGTTGAGCTTGTTTTATTTATGTAAGGTGAATTCTTTGATCAATATTATGTTTAGGATTTGAAAAGTTTTATTAATTGGGTTGCTGTCGTTCATGTACCAAGTTGATCTTAATTATTTGGTAAAATTTTTTATTTATTTACCATTAAATTAACTTTTTTTTTTTGGTAATTGGTTTGTGTATGTAATTAAAACTGTAAGCAGTAATCAAAATTTTAGATAGGTAAAGGTTTTTTTTTTTTTTTAATTTTCAGTACCAAGGAGTTCAGATGTTGTGCTGTTCAGACAAATCTGGTTAATAATTCTTCATCTGACTTATGGTAAGTATCAAAATTCTATATCGAATATATTATATGAAACTATATTATCTAAAGATATTTGATGTATTATTCGCTGGTTGTAACGTGTAACTATATTTTCTGGTCTTTTGAAATCACAGTCCGTAATGTATTTTTTATTTAGATATTTGAACCCGGGAACTCAGAACATTATAATTAATACATATTATGATAATTTATCTTTTTATTTAATTGATAGGAATCCTTGAGAATGTACTTAATTGTTGCCCTTGTAACAGTTTCTTCCTGTATACTCTTTATTTTATATTGTTCCCAGTCTTGCATATGTATTCTCATGTACCCTTCCACTCTTGAGAATTCCATACTTGTAGACTTGTCAATTTTGAATAAATAATAGAATTGATATCTCGTAAAAAAAAATGACAAAATCTGTGGCTCACTAGGCCACATAACTTCGCTGCTGGACCAGGTCACTGAGAAAATTTCATATTTTCAACCCAGATTCCAATTATTAAACAATTTTTACATTTTTTAAAAAGATATTCAAATTAATTATTATGTTTATTGAAACCATTTCTCACACTGTTAATATTAACCATATCATGATTATTAAATTAATGTTTCTTTAAAAAATTATCATAATTTAGAAAATTATTATTTTTTTTTTATACGATTATAATATTTTATAGTTAAAATAAATGTCTACAATTTTACATTCCTGTAACAATAATTTCCTTCATTTATAAATTCAAGGTAATTTTTTATCCATATGCTTATTTCAAATGTATTTTTCTAGGTCCAGGAATTGTACTGCTAGTGCAGTTCAGACTGAACCATATGAGAATAAGGCATCTGATATTAGGTTAGTCATCAAATTAACATAGAAGCAATGATATTACTTTACTTTAGCATTCTTAAATTTTTTTATAAATGTTTATTAACAAAAAGTTTACAAAAATTAATTAATGCATACTTTCCTTGAAACTTTGGCTAATTAATTCAAATTAAGAAATTTGTAGACATTTTTGGTAAAACTGTTTAATATTAAACAAATATGTTCTGGTCACTCCCATAATATCTAAATTAAAACTTTAGATATTATTTTAATTTAAAATTTAGTTCCACAATTGTTTGTAGTCAAATTCATATGGCGGATATATCACCTATAACGGTAATTTTTATTCTTCTTTTTTGCTGGGAAGCTGTATGATATTCTTTATTTTCGGCAAAAGTTAAATTCCATACTTTCACTGCGATTTATGGCTAAAGTCTGATGTGCTCCTTTGTCATGATTTGAAATTTATGTGTTATAAATATAATAAAAATATACTATCTGGAGCATCAACATTCCTAGGACCAATAATTGGGCGCAGCTAGCAAACTAAAGGCAGTAAAGAAAGAGGTGCTTACGTGGAGTGGAGTAGCTCCAAACGCAGCAATCCCAGAGAAGTCTTCCTCACTCGGCTGAGGATCAGACATACCAGACTGACACACCTCCATCTCATAATAAAAGATCTTATCCCCAGATGTCAAAAGTGTGGACAGACATTAACTATAAAGCTAGTTTTGGAAGAGTGCCCATTTTACACTGCAAGGTTAAAATATCTTGGATTACCCCAGAATATATCAGCATCTCTGAGAAACCAAAAAGAAATCATTACTAAAGTTATGAAGTTCCTACACAATGAAAGTCTTATAAAACATATATGACAAGTTTATTACTATTGATCTTTTGCAGATTTTTTTTAAGTTCATTTATTAATTAATTGTTTTAAAAGTTTATTTATTTTATCTTATTATTATTATCTTTAAGTGTATTTTGTTTTAATTTTTATTGTATCTACCACATAAATACTATAAAAGTAGTGTTATTTAGTTGATCGGGGGCTGATGACCTGGATGTTTTGCGCCTAGACATGGAAACAAACAAACAATATTCTACCACCTCTATTTTAATATATTTCTATGAATTACATAAGTAACAAATCAGTTTGTTGCTAAATGTTACACTTTGATTGGTTTCGGTATCTTTTTGACAGAACCAGTGTTTATTGAATCTATATTGCATACGAATATTTTGGTGCGATGAACTTACAAGATTGGATGTTCTTGTACCATACTTGATTTCTTCAGGAAAAATCCATAAAGTTTCTTAAGATACAAAATAATTGCATCACTGAATTGGTTTATGTTTTCTATACACATAATTTATTTTATTTTTTTAAATATTAACCAACAGTTTTAATAATTATTTATTTCTTTTTTTAGTTTCAACATGCCTTACTCTAGTGTTGATCTCAATTATACGTGTAATAAGGTTGAAAATATCATTACTACTGAAATTCCCAAAAAGGTATCTATGTTCATATTAAATATTTAGTCACGAGATCATTTTTATAGAACTTTTTGAGTTCATATTTTTAAATTTCCAAAGGTAGATGCTGATGCCAAGGAAAATTCTGACAATGAAGATGAGGATATTATTGAAGGAACTCCTGTCAAAGTGAACAATGTGTCTGTTGCTAGGTGATAATATAAAATAATTTATCTATTTCAAATAATCAGTTTTGCTTCCTCACTACCGAAGGTAAGGAAGCATTATATTCGAACTAGAGCTTAAAAAAAATTTTTTGTTCAGAATCGAAAATTTCCACTCTCGTTTTACTTTTCAGACGTCAAGGATCAAATTTGGTTCGGTGTCTGTCTGTCTGTAGTGAAATTTATGTGACGGGCATATCACCTAATACCATTCATCCGATGTTCATGAAATTTACATAGATTGTGTGAGTTGGTGTCTAGATTGTCCCATATCCAGTTACATTCAGCACTCCCCCTTACAATCGCGCAAACGTAATTTTTTAGATATACCAATGTTTCAAAAAAAGCTTGTTTTGATTTGTCTCAAAATTAGATAAAATGTAGGTATTGGTGAAAAAATAATGTAGTGTCAATTTTATTGGATCATGTTCATTATTTTCTCTTATATATGCGCAAATGCGTTTTTTTTTTATACATCTATATGTCTAAAACCGCCCGTTCGATTTGGCTCAAATTTGGAAGAAAGTTAGGGATTAGTAAACAGATAATCAAGTATGTATGAATTTTATCAAATTCTATCCAATACTCCAAAGAAACATTCTTCCGCTTTCAGATCAGGAAATTTATTATTTGACATACCTATAGTTCGAAAATCGCACGTTCGATTTGAACCAAACTTTGAGGAAATTTGGAGAATAGTATAGAAATTGCCTGGTATCAGTTTCATTGAATTCCATTTAATAATTAAAATTAATATAAATAATTGTTAACAATATCATGGTGTGAAAAATGAAAGGCATTAATCATCTGGAGTGGGAGTTAGGTTAACACAATATTTCTATAGGGTTATAAAATTTTAGGTTTTATTCAAAAAGTTAATTTATAATGTATTGTTTGGTCGAGTCCAAACTTTATGGCATGACACTTACTGCCGTTACTTATATTTCGTGTAATTTTCAATAAATTTAAATTAATTTTTACTCTGTTTGTATAAAAAAAGAAAGTCTTATTTGTGATAGTGTATGTTTCTATTGAAGTTCGATTTCTTCGATCGATCGATTTCTTCCTTAAATATTAAAATTAACCCTTGGAGCAAAAGATCATATGCTAATATTTTCAACTTTTATTCTATTTGTGCTAAAGGTAACATTTTGTAGTCTGCTATGATGGAAAATAGTAGAGAGCAATAAAATATGAAATCATACTAATAAATCATAATGGGACAATTAGTTTTTATGCTCTCCTGTAAAACATTCAATGTTTTTTTGCATTAACATTAGTGATATTAATGTTCAGTGTGCTCTGGATTTTTTTTTTTTAATCAGGAATCATCAAATATGCAATCAGCAAATTCAGAACCCTTTCACATTTTAGTATTCAATGATGAGAACTATCAAACCCGTATATGTTGAGGGATTACTGAATTTCCGAAAATGGTTTCTCCCAAAGATTTTATTGTCATACGAAAAATGTTAGACCTTGTAGTATAGATATTTTTTACCCAATGAAAACGGTGAGGAAGCTATACTCACCTTACTTGGCAGACATTTTTTTAGTTTTATTTTATTCCAACCAGAATTGAAGTTTTGTTGTATCTATTTGGTCCTGGAATGTACCTAACTTGAGTAATTATCATACGAGTAGGTAATTGACCATATCAAGAATGAAATGGTCTGGCAGTCGGTCAGAAAAAACATAGAATAATGTCTAATTTTTTATGGAATACCAACATTTTGACCCATATAGTAGCTCTTCAGCAGGGCTTGAAAGAAAGATACCAAGATGGTGAAACTATTTTAGGAGTAAAAAAAATTATACTCAATTACTCACATTAATATGAAGTACAAAACAGTAAATAATAAATATTGAAGGTGGAAAAACAACAAGTATCTGATATAATAATTGACAGTATAATATTTATTTTATGTTATTCAACAAAAGAAATATAGTTCTTTTGTTGACTATTATTTTAGATATTATTGTTTTTCCACCTTTAAGCTTAATTATTTCCATTTTTATACATTTATAGCTATATCAGTAATTCAGTATAACTTTTTTACTCTTACAATAGTTTCACCTTCTTTCTATCTTTCTTTTTAGTCCTAATGAAGATCTGTTTAAATATTGGATGAAGACCTGTTTAAATATTGAATGAAGACCTGTTCAAATATTGGTTGTTTAAATATTACTGGTATGTTCTATTTATAGTAATCAAATGTATATTACTTTTACTGAGGGTGGGGGGAGGGTAAGGATCGAAAGGGTCCTGCATATATTTAATTATTGATAATTTTTTTTTTTCAGTCTTAACTTGTCAGCTTTAAAGGGACGAACTCCTCATTTTGATTGTAATGAGTCCACAGTTGCAAGAGATGTAAGAATCAGTTTTTAATTACTGTTATTTCTGAGTTAAATAGATTATTGATAATTTTAATTATAAGTTTTTAACACTCTATACCTTGAAGAGAAAAGATCCAACCAATCAATGTTAGCCTTTGGACGTGATTAGTTGTCAGGTGACTAACCCATTGACTGTAATGTAGACAAGCATGATCTTTTCCCAGTAGTGTTTTTACTTTCATTTACCTACTTATGCAATTTATAGTGAGGCAAAGTATTGCGATCATGAACATTTTCGAGTCCCAATTTTCAATGGAAATAAACATATTGAGGTGTCCTGAATCCAAGTAACCAAGTCTCAGCATGAGTTTTCATTTACTTAGTAAAACACTAAACATATGATTTTTTTTTTTTCTTTTTCTTATGCCGTATATTGCTGCCCAGTATAAGTAGCTAAACATATAATGAATCTAAGTAAATTGGAAATATAGGAAGCTCTCACTTGGAAAACATTTTATATACCTAAAACATCAACTGATAGCAGATGTATGTAACTATTGAGTTTTAGTTTTCTCTCTAGTTTTAGTTTCTTAAATTTTATTCCAACTAATTTTTTATGAGAAAATATAGGCAATTTAAAAAGTTTTGAGAATTGTATCTAGAAATTTAACTATATTTACAAATACAAGTATTAATCAGTATTCGTATACAAGTACAGATTACAAATGTAATTTGTATTTTTTTGTGTATGTGAGTACTATATACAATTCGGTATCCATAAATATTTTTTTCAAGAAGTATTCTATATCTGTAATTGTGAGTACAATATGCCCAAGTCTACAACATACATAAAAAGAATTTTTTTTCCACCGATACATGAATACCTTAAGTATGGATAACTTTTCTTTATAATTTACTGAGGAAACTCGCTCTCTGTCAGAACATTGATACAAATCTCCCTAAGTGTCTTATAGACGTTGCAGACTACAAGAATGTGCTCAAATAGATCAATTTTCTTTTTGTAATGAGCCATCTGATTCTTTTGTGTCATGAATAGACACAGTTGGGAAGCACTCATGTTATTTTTTTCTGGGAATCGACCAATTGGAAAATATTTCCTCATTGTAGCCCCTAATATAGTCATGAACAATCCACACTTCCATTTACCAAAGATGTTCTCATGAAGTATCTTCCATCTATGGAATTCTTCATTCTGAGAATTCCCTTATCTGGTGCCTAAACTTTTCTTCCTTCGAGAGGAGCTTGAGATGTAATCCTACTAGGACATGAACTATCTCATGAGGCACTGTCCTTGATATCTGAATAGTATATAGTATACAATAATGAGTTTATCAAGTAAAATTGTGTTCACCAACATCAGATTAAAGTATTGTTTAAAACTTTATAATTTTTTCCACTCTTGTTTATTTTTGTTATTTTATTGAACATATTGGTTAGTATTATTTTGATAGCTCCTGCATGATTAAAAAAAATATTTTTTCTTTTACAGGAAATCATCTCATGCTCAGATCTAACTAATGCGGATAAATTATGTGTAGAAAAATTCACTAATCGGTTTGGTATGGAATATAGCGAATATTTTAACAATAAGACTACACATCTTGTTGTTTCTTCAAGACTGACTCATGATTCTCATAAAACATTTAAATATTTAATAGCAATTGCCTCGAAGGCTTGTGTTGTCTCTATCGATTGGGTCAAAGATTCATTACAAAGAATGGAAGTTTTGCCAGTTGTAAGTTAAATAATTTTTAAGTTCTTTAAATATATGTATGAATCTTCTCATTAACAGCATTATTTAATTTACTTAACTTTCTATGTTCTTAAGAGAGTTCTACATTTGTAATAAGAAAGAAAAGTTAATAATTTAAAAAAAAATAATAACAAAATAAAGTTTCTTTTAGTACTTTTTTATATTCGTAAATACCTTTTAAATGTATAAAAAAAGTATTGTTTCGATATAATTTAATTGATAACATAATATACAGTATAAATTCAGTGAATATTGAAAGTATACGATGAAATGATAGAATATTGTTCATTGTCTCTTGTATTTTTCTATGTCCCTTGTCTACTAAGTAAAAATTTTACAAATATAGATGAGGGAAATAGTTGGTCAAGAAACATATATTTCCCATACCCTAAATATAAGTTGATATAATTGATATTGCAGCCAGAGAACTGTAAGTTAGTTTACAATTTGGTGGTTTGCTCATGAACTAATTCAAAAAGCTAATTCTTGTTTACTCAATATCAGAGTTTTGAGAAAAAAAATAATGGTGGCTCAAAGAGTCGGATGTTTGACCTAGGGCCATTTTTTTTCTGATTAATGAGTAAAAAAAAAAAAGATTTAAATGAGTTGAAGAAAAAGATCTTGTTGCATTCTTTGTGGCTCTGATTTGACACGAGCAGTTTTGTCCAATTCCAAGAAGAACATGGAGCACTATAGTTGCTATATTGGAGTATAGCTAACAATTTCTAAAATTTTCATCATATTGAAATTGAAATAAAGTAGTTTAGTTAAGCTGATACTTTTCAATATATTGTAATGTCAACATTACATGGCATTTGAATAGTGGCGCGGAAGTGGTAACAGAAGGTGACGGGCCGCCAAGAGAGAAGGTGATAGCGGCCAAGAGAGAAGGTTATGAGCCGCCAAGAGAAAATGTGACAACCTGTCAAGAGAGAAGGTGACAAGCTGAGAAAGTGAAAAAGGAGTCCTAGCTGGTTCGAATGTTGATAGAGTCACTAGTGGAGATTATTTTATGTTGGAAGAAAAACATAGCAGAAAAGAATTAAGTGGTACAGAAAATGGGACATTCGTAAGAAGAGATTATTTCACTGACAGGCGTAAACATTTGGGTGAGTGCTAACAATGCCATTTATGTTGACAGAGGGATAGAACCAAAAGTTTAGACCGGGACAAATTATTTTATAAAACTATTTTAAATTATATATATATAAGTGTAGTTAGTAATTAGTAAATTATAGTTATTTAATGTTGAATGAGTGTTCAGTTGTCAGAACCCAATCTGAGTTTTATATTATATGTCAAAATAAATAGTATATTGAAAAAAGAAACTCGTTGTTTGATTTTGGAGGGAAAGAGGAACGTAACAATATATTAGGAGACTATTTATTTTATGATTTTGTTTCGATATTTCATATGTAAATAAATATTTTTGAAACTCTCCAATCATTTTTCAGAGTAAATATATTCCAACCAATCAATCAGGACCAATGAGATGTCGAATGAATGTAAGGTTACCATTTGCAGGTCTTACAATATGTGTGCAACTGTTGACGAACTATCCTGGTGTTAAAGCGATGGAGGTAACTATTTAAGATATAAATTTTTATTATTCGTTAAACACAACCTATTCATTATGAAAGTAGGGAGCTGAATTGAACAAGTTTAAGTTAGAATTATTGTTTGGCATTGTAAATTAAAATTAAATGAGCAAAAATAAAATGTACCACTTTAAGCCCATTCAAGTTTATTTGATGTAGTACTTGATATGAGAATTCTGATTCTTGATAAATGGTCTTATAAGTCTTTTCATATATCAATCAAGAGATTTAACTCCAATTCGATTGAAGGATTTGCTCTTCATTTTCTAGAGACTGGATATGCTTATTAACACAATAATTGATAACTTTCTGTGGTTATAACATATTTTTCCCCACTCTGTTCTAAAAACTGGCTGGTCTCTTGCCCAAAATTGATTTTTATAATTATCACAATTCATATTTCAATACATATATATATATATATATATTGTAATATAATCAAAGGAGAAATAATGGTTTATATTAATATTAACAAAATAGTTTCAATTTTGCTAGTTCAGTTTCTTATATAATTAATATATATGTCACAGGCACTTACTAAGCTTTGTGGGGCTTATATTGTGGACAATATAGAACAATACAATTCACCTCAAAAGTGGCCTTTCCCAAGGTTTTGTCTGTTTGAAGATGAAACTCAGCTGACTTCCCAAATATTAAGTAAGTATTTTTGTTCATTGAATTTTAACAATATTGTATATATTTTGTAAATTGGCAGTTTTGTATATATTTTATGAAAATTCTTATGGTGCATATGATTCTGTCTTCCCTGGTTCAATATTAATTGTAATCAACCCTTAAAGTAGTTGATATCAATGGAGTTACATTTTACAGATGTTTTTTGGGTTTAAGAGGTTTTTCATGGTCAGTGGATCTGTTTAGTGTTTACAGGTTTTTAATAATAAAATTAATCTGTGTAATCTGCATAAATTATTTACATTTCAATTTAGAAAAATAAGATCAAGTTTTCCTTTTCTGTTCAAGTTTGGCCTTGTACGTATTCAGAATTAAAAGCCAAAACAACTTGCTTAAAATATTTCTTCTTTGTTATCGAGCATACAATAAAAATTGAACAGACAATCTTATTCATAATATGTACAGAATATACAATTTGTTTGTCTGCTCAATATTTTTTACTTTTACTTACTTATGTATGTAATATATAGTAAGTGTAAGTATTGCGATCGTGAAAATTTTTGAATCTGAGTTTTCAACGGAAATACACATTTTGAGGTCCCCTGAGTCCAAATAACCAAGTCCCAAAAAATGGTCTGTGTGTAAGTGAACACTCTAGCTCAACACCGAAAAGTCGTACAATATTACACATTTAAGATAGATATATGTCTTAGATGTCCTGGCAACTCTTTCCTTAAAAATCGGCTAACAGGAAGTGCCACTTAATATTAACGCTGTAACACATTTTTACAATGTTCTCAAAAACGGCTCTAATGATTTTGATTAAACTCGTTGTATCATTGTATAATTAAGTGGTCTTTAATATCATTTAGGTCTTATCACCATTAATGTTACTTTACATGGCTTAAATGCCCAATGTTCATATGGGTCTTCCTCTAAAGTACCTTTAATATGCTTTATTTTAAATAATCAACTATCTCTCATTATTAAAAGTTACAAAAAAATGCTAAATATAACTTTTGAAAGAATTTGATAATTGAATAAAGGAGAAAAAAAAAATGCTTATACAGGTCGAAAATGAATCTCTGGAAATAGAAGTCAGAAGGTATACTTATAATATATCGTTGGAAAGCGGAAAATTAAAAAAACAAAACAATATCTAATATAGAAAGTTGTAGAAGGTAACGCAATGCAGCAAAAAAATTATAAATAATAATTTTTGAAAACTGATAATCACATGTTTTCAAGGAAATTAAATGAAATTTACTAACTAAATGCAAACTTTAAAAAATATTTTTACGTTTACAGAAAGTATTTAAAATCCACCTAATCAAGGCAATGACACTGTTAAAAACTATTCCATTGTTCTTGTGTGAAAGAAGAAGTAAAATATAAAATCATTTCATGGATGTATAAAGCATATGTTTATAACCTTAAATATATTTACTGTAGGTTAGTGATAATAGATCTGATATTATATTTAAATAATTAGGTATCAACGTTTATTCTGAAAAATTGACATTTGACTTTTTAGAAAATTAAATTAGTGAATAATTTGATGAATCTTCCCTTTGTGATATTCCAACAGTATCCACTAATATTTCATGGTACTTGTGTGAAAGAAGTGAAATATAAAAATATTTCATAGATACGTTTATGACCTTAAATATATTTACTGTAGTTTAATAACTCTAGATCTGATATTATATTTAAATATTTAGGTATCTATCGTCTGTTTATTCCGAAAAATCATCATGTAATCTGTTGGAAAATTAAATTAGTGAATAATTTGGTAAATTTTCCCTTTGCGATATTCCAACAGAATCCACTTACAATTAGTGTGACAACTTTTGACCTGTCTATGATATACAATGCAAATCTCTTAATTCCGTTTTAATAAACTTTGCAATGGAAAATAACAGTTAATAAAATAACTGATAATATTGTTGCAACAGAAAATAACTAATAGTCGAACCATTCATAATCGACGAATCGTACAATCCATAATCAACCGGTGATATAATAAATAGGACTTTTGTTACTTTAATAGTATTTATGATTTGTTAGCTGCAATATTTTAGCTTTAGCTCAGTTAAAAATGGAATTCAAAAATTTTATAATAGCCCAACATGGCTAGAAAATAATTTCTATTCAAAGTTGAGCAAAGTTCAAAAAGTGTAAGTGAAAGTTGTGTGTTGCGCTCACCAGATTTTTATCTCTTGCACTTGGCTCTCAATAATATTTACTTTTATTATCTCAGACCATTAAAATTTATTGATTGATTATCCGGTCCACAGGGAATTGATAATTCTATTTATATCTGCTATGCATTAGTATTGAAACTATCATTCTGTTTACTCTGTAATTTTTTTTTTTTTTTTCATTTTCAGATAGTTGCAGTAAAAACCACTTAGTAGCTGTTCACTTCGAATGGGTTTTTGATTCCGTCGCAGCTTATTGTAGGCAACCAATATTGAAATACTTATGCTCTACATTTATCATAACTGATAATATTGTTGAAAAATATAAGATTCCAAGTGATATGCTTGTTGACAACAGTACATCATAGCTTAGTTTATTTATTAAATTTGTTTATTTTTATCAACAATTACTGTGATGGATGGTTGTATGTTAATATTTATATTGATTACAAATTTTTATCTTTTTATTGAGTTTATTTATATGTATTAATCTTTCTTGTTGAAAAAATCGGGAGTGACTAGTTTTTCGATATAATTAGTTGACTTTTTTTATGATAATTTTAATTTAATTTTCATCTAAAATTAATTGATGCTCTTTGTACAAATTAAATAATTAATAAATGAATCGGATGACACATAACAGAATTGAACCAATCCACATTATGTATATTCTGAATAATCTCTTCAGTTAACTGGTGTTGGAGAATCTGAAAGCTTGGGAGTAACTTATTTTTTTCATGAAACCAATTTTATTCTATATTTTATCCAACCAATTCTTTTTTTTTCTTATTGAAATATAATTATTGTGTTCTGTTTTGAGTTATTTGTTTCATGTTTTATTTTCCATTGTAGGTACTTGAACATAGATATGAATCTTTTCTGTTTAAATTAATAAAAACTAATCCCATTCAAAACCACCTGTAACTCATTTTTGGATATTTTGTTGATTGGTTCCTTTCTGTTGAATGTCGTCTAACTGTTTAAACTTTATCGAAAATAAAGTTGTCAAAATACATTTTGTGCTAAAAATCATTGTTAAAATTTATAATTTTTAAGAAAAAATAATTAAATGTTACTTTAGTAATATATTAATTTTATTTTTTAAGCCATATTTTATTTTATCCTCCTGTTCTGATCTGTTATTGTTATCAAATGAACTCTTAATGAGATTTTTTTTCTATAAGGTTTCTTTAATTAATATTGTTTGATTTCTATTAGGAATTTTGCAGTATGTTACATTATAATTATTGAATTTTAGAATTTAATATGCCCATTGGTTATCATTCTTTATTGTTATTATTCATTCAATTCATGCAGGTTAATTTTATAATTTTGTTCTGTTCTTATTATTAAATATTTTTAAGTCGATAATGTATGTACCATAATTATAATTATAATAAGTACCAATGATTATACAATCAGTGTTGTTAAATTAATGTAATTTGTGTTTAGTTCAATTTGGTTCCTATTAATGTAAACTGTCGAGTTAATGATTTCTTTATTAGTTACCAGATTCAACATGATTTAATTAGATTTTAGGCAACAGGGAGTAGCTTTTATATGTTTTCAATTTTTTATTTTGATATTTTATTATCATAGTCCATTTTTTAGGGCATAAGTTTTATATCTTGAATTTTAAATCTCAGTTTGTTATATTTTAAATCTGTATCAATGAAAAAAACGTAATTATCCTAGTTCCATAATGGATTTGATATATCAACAGCAACTAGGCATTTTGTCAGAATCCAATTTTTGCCGGTTTTAGAAACCTAGAAAACTTTTATTTTATATTTAATGATTGTTTATTTATACGTATAAGATTTGATATAAACATTCTTATGTTTATTCATTACAATATGAGAGAGAGAGAGGTTAATTAAAAACTAATATTTGAAGGTTAAGATATTGCCATGTTGTTGATATTTTTATGATTAGTCAATCCATTTAGTGCCTTTTTCAAATTAAAATTGTATTTTTGTAAAAAAAACATTATGAATTAAAGTAAAACATTACAAACAAATAAAATATAACAATTATTTTTTATGTATCATGTTTCTATGATAAACTATATCCATTATATCATGTTTAATTGTTCTTAAAATATGATTTGGTGAATAAAAACTTTTTATTCTTGTGATTCCTTATATAATAGTCCTATTATAGTTTCATGTTTTTTCCTCAATTTGTGTGATCAGTAGGGACCTGACATTTCTTGAATGCCTATAAATTTAGCTATTTTTTTAAAGCTGTTGTCTAAATATCTTTTTGTAATGGTGCATAACACCATTTAGCCGCGTTACCTTCCAATTCCATCTATACAGTAATTACAGGTATGACTTGGTGTACCAACAGAATGCTTTTGTATTGGTCTTGATTTCATCAACCTGTGGTTCTTGCTGTTATCTCTCATCCTTCAAACATGGCAAAAGCATTTAAGTTGGCGGTTCTTGAGAGGTTCAATTACAGATTTTACTCTAAGATTGGTATGGCTGTTATGTCTTATTCAGTCCCATTTGTTCTTTCCTGTCACTTTACATGAATTTACAAAATACTTAAAATTATACTTGTTTAATAATTTGGACACATTTATGTTCTATTAGAGCTGATTATCCTAAAAATATTCTATTTATAGTTTAATTAAAAGTTTTATTTCATTGGATTGTCAAAAAATGAAAGCCAACCCTCACTGGTTGAATTTGAATAGGCAGTTTCAAGAGTACCCCACTGCTGCCATAATCCACTCAGTCTCTATGACTACATAAATTATTCTTACTTAAATTTCCACTATTTTATTATATTATTAAAATTTTAAAAGGTTGTGATAATATAAGAAAATGATACAATTTTGAAAAAGGAATTATTACTCTCAGTGCATTTTAGCAATAAAATTGCATGATAAATAATTAGATAATTAAGCTTTTCATTTTGTCAAATTTCATTGCATATATTAACGCTTTGCTGCTTAATTTTAAATTTTTCACTACTCCGAAATCAAGTTTCTAGTTGGAAGGTGCTAATTAGATAGAAGGGTTTTAACATATAATGAATCTTTCATGATTTGAAAAAAATAATGCTAAATAACTTGTTTTTATATTCACTTACCTATGTATGAAACATATAGTAAGGGAAAGTGTTGTAATTGTAAACAATTTGGAATTCCGAGCATTCAATGGAAGGAAATATTTTGAGATATCCTGAATCAAAACAACCATGCATCACTATATGGGGTGTGTGTGTATTTGAACAGCCTAGCTTAAACACAAAAAGTGCAATGAAATTAATATATTTAAGGCTTATATATATGTCTATGTTTATATTAACTTTTTCTTTAAAATTAAATAACTAGAAGTGTCACTTTATATCATAAATTTTACACTTTTTTTCCAATTTCCTCCAGAATGAGTCTAGCAATTTTTATTTAACCATTATATAATATATATATATATACAATTTAATGGTTTATAATATCGAGTAGGTCTTATCCTCATTGAAAAACACAAGTAATTTCAGATTCCCACAATAGATTGAAATAATTAAATTTTAACTAGTTTTATTTGTAATAACACCCGATTTTTGTCATAATAGCTATCAACATTTTTTTCTACAATTTATAACACTTAGTTACAGAAATGATATCACTTATTTTTTTTCTTCCAAACTATCTACTGCAATGAATTTAATGAAAATTCATGGGTAGATTGAAATTTTTAATGAGTTAAACTCATTTAAGTTTTTTTATTGAATGTAATTATTCTTTTGAAAATGCAACTATGATCTATATATATATATATATATATATATATATATATATATATATATATATATATATATATATATATATATATATATATATATATAAAGGTAGATCGAAATATTAAATTAATAATTATTAGAGTTAAGAGATAGGTGGAGATTTAAATATGCAGTATAGATTAATTTTTTTTCCATTATGATTTTAAATAATTAATTGTTCTGTTTTTTTATCATTTTTACTTTCCATTCACACTCCATTTTGTTGTTGATATTTTGGTCTTATTTAATTCAAACTGTTAGGTGTTAAAGAAGAAATAAACTTTTTTTTCATGAAAATCATTGGTTAAATTCCAGAAAAAATATTAGGATAAACCTTCTAAAATTTATTGTTACATAGGAATAATAATCTATGAATTAAAAAAAAAATCTATGCTTTTATATATATATATATTTCTTATTTAAAAATGCTAAATTATTTTAAATCCTGTTAAACTAATTGTTTAAAAAATGAACATTATTATGTGTGGCAAGCAATCCTATTGGAATTGTTATCCTCTGTATCAAAATAAATAACAATCCTATAGCCTAAGTTTGTTATCAAATAGTATAAACAAATATTTCTTCTATAATCATGTTATACAAAAAGACGTTGTTCCTGTTTTTTATAATATTGAATATAACATGTAGTGTTAGTAAAATATCTTTAAAAACATAAATAGAAAAAAATTTGAATTTAAAACTTATATCAACATTTTATTTATTTTGTAGGTTATTTGTCAGAGGAACTATACAAATGTTTATTATATGAAAAACCATGTGTTGGGCTTAAGTGAAGGTAAATTTTTGTTAAAATATTTAAAAAATATATAAGTGGAGCAAATCTGAAAATTTACCCAGTTCTGTGTTTTTCCTGGCTTAGATATAATATTAGTACACATATTTTGTCATCCGTATCACAGATATTCAGTACCAATCTTTTAATACTACTGAGTATTTTGAAATAAACCTTTCATAGAATATAATGATTCAATTTATTGTTACGATTGGAAGGATTGTTCACTATAAAGATAGAGATTTAACTAAAAAAAAAGTTTGACAATGACAAATTTGAGTTTTGCTCCTTTCTTTCTGAATTTGCAATATGAATGATTTATTATTTTTATTTTTTAACAGAGCTAAAGGTGGATTCAGTGGAAGAGGACAAATATTTTTCTGGTGGAAAAGATGTCAAACATTGGTTAAAATTACCCTCAGTTTCAGTACTCTATCTGATTGGGATAAAACAAAAAGGTCTTAGCCTAATAACGATTACAAAAAAAATCAGTACTCCTTTCTATCAAGCTGTTGAAAAACAAATAGGTATTTATTTTACATGTATTAGCTATTATTGTTTAAAACTGGAAACCTAAAAAAACCTAAAATCTCTTCTGACAAAAAAAAAAAATAAAACCAGAGCGAGCTACCTCACCCCTTATGAATGCTCACATTGATGGTTAAAAAAATTAGCATTTTAAATTAGTTTTGCTATTGTAAACTTAAGCGATCCTTCAATATAATATTTCATCCTGAATTCAATTACATAACTATACGAAAATCTGCCTATGGACAAAATAAAGTTGAAAATGGAGGTTTTAACTCATTTTTTATTTGTATCCAATTAAACTATTGTAAGTTGATTCATAATGATACATTCTTTATTTATGCCAGTATTTCATTGAATAATAGCAAATATTTGAAAAGAAAAATCATTATTTACTTGAAAATCCAAAGTTTAGCGTATCTTTGTCAACCAGCATTTCAATATAATTTATCATTTTGATTGATTTCCATTAAATAGTTCAATCTATCTAATTTCTATATTTCTATTCTTTATTCAGAGTTTTATTTATTAAAATTCAAATTTTTATAAAATAGATGTTGGAGATAACATTACATCGACTGTTGCCTTCAAAAGTTACAATTATGAACTGCAGAAAATGGAAGATCTGGTTATTATTTCAACAGATTCAGAAAAAAATGAAATCATCCTGTACAAAATACAAAATTATAAATTGGTTAGTTCCAAGCTTTATTTTGTTTATAATATTCATATTTCTTTTCTGAATTAAAAAATTATTAATTAATTTTTTTTGGATTGGCGTTGTTGACCTTGTTCTCGTTGTTGAATATCTTAATCAACCTCCTTGAACTGTTTTTAAATTTGCTGTGTTTAGGTTTGTGGCACCCTAACTAATTGTATTTATCCATCTCTCTTTTGGTATCTTACATAGTCACTTGTTAAGAACAGTGACATTCATGTAGAGAGGTTGTCTTAGGGTGTTTCTATATACAAGTTATGCTTTTTTCTTTTTGTCATGAAAAACTGTGTAATAGCTTTATTTTAATAATTTATCCTTCTCCAAACTTTTAATTTGTATTTGGTTGAATTTTAAATATTTCAATTTTACATTACAGTCCATGGAGACTTGGAACAATAACTGTGACAAGAGCAGAATAAGATTTCTTTACTCTCTAAATATTTTTATTTTTTTTTTTAGATTTTTCAGAATTTACCATTTGTGAGAGAAGGTTCTATTTTCTCTATAGTTACGCTAGTTATCAATATGAAGTGTTATTAGTTTATCTTCATAAGTTCAAATATGACTTTGTATATATTTACAAGCTAATGATTAAACTGGTTGTAGTACGTGGTAAGGATGCCTGACTGCACTAGCGGATCCAGGATTTAATTTTGAGGGGGTCTTCAGCCCGAAAGATTTTTTTTCATATATATAACGATAATTAATTTGAAAAAAAAGAAGAAAGAAATGAACTACCTATTTGAAATGGTGTTTAAGTGATTTTTGAAGTCCTATTAAATGTACTTTCACGAACAATAATACTATAAGTGATATATTTTTATATTTTTTCTATAAAACATGGTTATATTATACCGTTTTGGGGGGGGCTTCAGCCAGAAAGCCCCCCCCCCCATCCCGTAAATCCGCCTGTGCCTGACTGTAACATCCCTAATGAGATATGGGTGGAGATATTGCTTATAAATAGATTAATTGTAAGACTATGGTTAAAATATTAAAATATTATGGTTGCTGATGTTAGATTAACATTATTAATGTTGTAAGAATTACATATTAAGGCGGTAATTATTTGTAAATGTTCTTGGAGGTAATCTAGCTGATTTGATAATGAACTGTTCTGCCAAATATAGAAATATTATTTTTTAAAGAAATATATTGTTTTCTACTCCAATAGCTTTGGATGTACAGTTTTGTTGTATTTTTCAGGTGAAATTTTGGGTTTGGAAACGATATGCTAAAGTACAGTCTCTCCTTCAGTTCACAGTTATGAGAGAAGATAGATTGCTTCTTGTAGATTCTGATGGTATTACTGGGTACCTTTATAAGTTTAATATTGATAAAAACTCTGTGCATATAAGGTATTATCAATTAAATGAATTAATATTAAATAAAACAAACCTTATTTAATCATAATATTTATATATGTATAATAATTTTTAAAATATCTTGAGTGGCATTATTTTTATTACTAATGAATCTTATTTGGTTGTTTGAATGTTGTTATGATGAAGAATTTTGTTTGCAAACCATAAAAATAAATCTAGTAGTTTATGTACTTGTTTTCGGTCCAGTAAGGTGATTGCTAGATAGCCACACCTAATTCATAATTATAATTTTAGTTAATGAGTTAATAATTGATTAAAAAGGGTGGTAATGCCATTATGCTTGTAACTTCTGAAATAAAAGATATTCTTATATATTATAAACAATATAAATTGAACCTATGTTACCATGGTTTATGGATAGAAATGCTGGAGATGGCCTGGCTTCTCTTCTATTTTATTTTGCAATAGAAAAATTGGAGATAATTCGGAATTCAGATGCGAAGCATGATCTTCTCTCATATGGTGCAGATACTTGGTTACACCGATGACCTCGATATAGTTGTAAGGTCTTGACCAGAGCTAGAAGAAGCATTCCTTAACCTTTTGAGGGTACCTTCAACCATTGGCCTTGTTTTGAATGAAGCCAAAACTAATATTTCTACAAGGGGGTAAAGGAGATCTGGAGTTGCTTATTGGCTCTTACACTTTTGAAAGGGTAATGGAGTTCACTCACCTTGGATCCCAGGTGACAGCTTCGAATGATATAAAGGTTGTGATGGCAGAGTGTGTTGGAGAGTTGCCCGTTTTAACATCCTCGTGCCTAGCGACGTTGGTTCGAATCCGGCCTGGGTTGATTTTTTATTTCGTGGCGGAATAAAACTCGCCACTCTGTTTAGAATAGGTTTGGTTGTACCTCTTGAACAAGCCCCCTCCGCTTGCCAGAAATAGGGTAAGGTAGGAGGTTATTCAATAAAACAAAAAAATAAGCTTCGATTGATATGTCAGCGGAAATAAAGTGAAGATTGTCTGCCGGGAATCAATGCTACTTTGGACTACTGAAGAAATTTTGAAGCAGACTTTTGAGCAAGCAAACCCTCTCTTTATAAGACTTTAATCCAACCTGTTTTTACCTTTGCCTCACAGGCATGGACCATTTCCAAAAGTGATGGAAAGGACCTAATGATTTTCGAACAAAAAATCTGGCAGCATATTATTGATCCTTTGAGAGTTGCCGAAGGGTGGAGGAATAGGAAGAACAGCAAGCTGTATCAATTATATAAGGAGGTTGATGTAGTCAGATTCATTAAGCTTGGGAGACTCAGTTGAACTGGTCAGGTGGCAAGGATGTGTGAAGAAAAATCCCGAGAAAGGTATCTGAAGGGATTCTTCATAGGACTCAAAGAGATGGAAGACCAATGTTAAGGTGAGCTGACAGAGTGGCAACGGACGCAAGAAACCTCCTAGAGATCATCAACTGGAAGGCGGCAACAAGACAGAACCAAACAGCGGAGGCGTATTGAGGAGGCCGAGACCTATTCACGGTTGTAGACCCATGGAGATAGATAATACTATTTTTTATAATAAATAATATTATTACAAAAATAACGGTAATGATTTGTATGTTATCAATAACACACTGCATCATTGAGTGATTTTATTGATGATATTATAATAACCTGTTTTTTTTTATTCTAGAGAATTAGAGGTCATAAATTTTTCAGAAAAGACATCAAGAATTTCAGTTTCCATCTTGTTTCCTGAACCATATATGTATGCTGTACAGGATGGAAAGCTAGCAATATATCGATATATACGTTTTTGCCCTGAATCTTGGATTGGGGAATTCATTAAACAGACCTCTTTTGAACACTTAGAAGTTACTGATGCATTACCCTTCCATTCCAATGGGAGAGAATATCTAGCGGTTGCGGGAAAGTTAGGAGGTATCTTGAGAGTTGATGCCTCAGACAAATTCGTACAGGAAGTGCAAATTGGTAATCAATATTTTTTTATTCATTTACAGATTTATTAAATATTAATTTTAACAAATGAAATTGTTTTATTGTTTGTATTTCAATAAATGATAAATGATTTATGATATTAACAATGTTATTCTTATTGATTTTATTCCATATTATATACGTTTGAAATACTTGATGAGTTTTTATTGATCAGTAGTCAATGACTTAAATTATGAGGCCAATACTGTCATCACCACCTATGCCAATGACACGTGTATCCTATCAGTTAATAACGACCCATCTATTGTATCCCAAACTCTTCAATCACACATCACAAGTCTTGAAAAATGGTGTCAAAACTGGAGGATTAAAATAAATTCCAATAAATCCCATCAAATTACCTTCACTCTTCGCCATAAACCTATGACTTCCTGTCCTACAGTATCCTTCAACAATAGCCCTCTTATCCCTGTCGAACAAATCCGATACTTAGGACTCCACCTTGACAAACGACTCACTTGGAACCCCCATTCCAGACTGAAACGACTAGAAACCGCCCGACGTTTTCGACTACTGCAGCACTTACTAGACAAACGCTCTAAGCTTTCAATCAATTACAAACGACTCATATATATGACAATAATAAGACCTATTTGGACTTACAGAATTGAGCTTTGGGGCTCCACTAAACCATCGAATTCCTCTCGTATCCAATCCTTACAATCCAAAATCCTTCGTAAAATCCTTAACGCTCCTTACTTTGTCACAAATAAAATCATCCATAAAGACCTTAATGTTCCATATGTTTCCGATTTGGCCCAATCCAGATACCTATCCTTCCATAACAAACTGCAGAACCATCCGAATCCTCTCGTTTCAAACCTTGCTCCCTCCTCGATCCCTGATAATCCTCCGAGGCGTCTGAAAAGAAGATGGCCTCGGGATCTTCTAATATAGAAGTTTAATTTGAGTTCTACCAATGGGTAGTTTCTCTTCATGTTGTACATGTCATGTTACCAATGTCACATTTACTTATTGTATTTTCTATGTAATACAGTTGTAAATTTCATTAAAATAATAAAAAATAAAAAATTATGAGGAAGATAGGATCCAACAGTTTCCAAATTATTTCTTTCTTTAAGAATATTCATGAGACAAAATTACTTCAATGAGTATAAGTTTATATTGATCTGCTTTTATAGTTTGAACTCTTGGTTTTTTTTTTTTTTCTGCGCTTAAGATAATTAAGTTTTAATATGTTGTACAATTACAATTTGAACCTATACCAGTAAAAATAATTATTGAGCATTATATTAGCAGTCCAATGTAAGAACAAATGTAATTTTTTTGGTCAAAATTAAGTTGGAAAATAAGCTAAAAAGAAGAAAACTGTACATTTATTGACTGGCTATAATAATCAAAGCATAGCAATTGGATTTATTTAAATTCAAGAGCATACATAGCTTTCATATTGAGGTAGGGAGAAGGGGACAAGACTGAATAAAGGAAAATCTCAGGTAGATAAATGATTTCAAACTCTATAATACAACAGTTTGTAGTTGGTTCTTATTACAATTTATAAATATTTTTGTATGAAACACGATATATACATAGAACAACAATTGAAAAACAAATTTTTATTGATAATTTTACCTCACCATTTATGGCAGACGAGAGGTTGTTCTAGAGATACAACCAAACCTATTCTAAGCTGGGTGGGAAGATCGAGATTTATTCCGTCGGTCTGCCATGAAATAAATTTTAACCTCCCCAGGCCGGATTCGAACCGACAACGTTTTAAAAATTATTTTTCTTGGATTTTTAGCAAACATTTTGTGTTTTATTTTATTCTAAATTATTTTGTGGGTGGCAGCGCCAGCCCCCTCCTTCCCGCATACCCTCATGTTGACATAGTAAAAAACAACTAATTTTGTTTTTGGATGAGACTTTCAGTCAAGATATTTTTATTGGGCTGGTCGACATTTCGACCCAAACATGTGGATCATCCTCAGTGCTATCGTCTGGAAGTCGAAACAAGAAAGAGAAGTTTTATCTTGTCTGAAAGTTCTGAAAAAATTTTTTTCATCCATATAATTGATCAGTCGACTATTTTTGACGATCTCTATAATTTTGTTGTTATTATTATTTTTCCAATTGATTTTTAAATCTCTCAACAGTAAAGCAAGAAATTTCTACATTGGTTCTTAAGCATTAAGCTGCATATGTGGTTAATTATCTATAATTATGTTGAAGTTTTAGGAAACTCTTGACTCTTTTTCTCAGGCAAGTTTTAGTAAGCAGAAGACATTGAAGACAATTATTATTATGTTATGACAGATTGATTGTACCAAAACTTAAATAATTGTTTTTTAATAATTATTTATTTAAAAAACAAGCAACGTCTTAATTTTTTTCTTAACTGTTATGTCATTTACTTCTTTAATTTTTAGATAATGTGATTGAATGGCTTGTAATCCATAGTGGGCCTGAAAAAGAAAATACACTTCTGTTTTGTAAAACAGAAGAAACTATTTATATATTTTATAATTCTGGTTTTGGTTGGAAGACTCAAGTGAATCCATCTTGTTACAAATATGATGAACAGAATAAGAGTAAGTTTAAATTCCATAAGTCAAGTTTTATTGACACTTATATAATTCCTTTTTGCAATTTAGTAATATGTTGTGTTGTCATAATCTATTTCTACGAACCCTTTATTCGTCTACTAAACTTTTTAAATAAAACAATATTTAGTTTAGGCATGAAGAAGATTAGGAAAACTTTGTGGTATTAGAGTTTAGGTCCTCAAATTATAAACCATAAAGTTTTGTGTTGAATTTTTGATGCTTGAATTCGGCCATCACTTCTTTCTTAGAGAGTCCGTAAACTCAAATCAGTTCTAAAAAATATATTAATCCCACCCTCTTTCAATCTATAAATATCTGCGACTACATTACATACACATTGTTTACAATTGTTTACATATGTAGATTTGATTTGATTAATAAAACAGTTATTAAATATAATGATGAATTAAAATATAAATCAAACAATAACATACCTCAAAGTGCATGAATAAAAAATAATAGTTGAAAACAATAAAAAATGTTACATAGTTATGTTGTTTTTACATAAACCGAATAAATGTCTCAGATGGCTACTTTAATTATTATTAAAAGCTATCTTTAATGTATGTTATTATTGTTTCTGACTACCCAATTAACTTATTTTGTAAAAAATATCTTTGATTTTTGTAAGTATTTTTATATCAATTTGTATTATTTTATTTTACATGAATCCTTTTCACACCAAAAAATTTATTTAAAAAATCCAGAAAATAATGTAAAAATTTATCACACCAAGCAATGCACTCTCATAATACTTATTATTATTATTTATTCATTTAAGGAATAATCACCAAGACTAATCTTGGTTGCTTAAAAGAAAAAAAATGGTCTGGAGCTGTTTCACTAGACTTTGGGCAACTTCCTACTTTGATTTTTGGAGAACGAAAGTTTATTGGAGAAATGTATCATATTATGCTGAGTATAAAGAGGCATATTCTGTCAATGGAGGAGTTGAATGACGACAATAAAGTAAGCTGATTATTGCTCATGAAGAAACATTTTCTCTCATTGTTTTTGAATTTTTGTTTTTATAACTATAGTAGGTTTAGCACACTTTTAATAATATTTTTTGACAAATATCTAATAAATTATTAACAGGATTATGGGAATTATCTTTCTAAAATGAGAAGTAATTTAAAAGATTTGGTTGGAGTCATCAATAAAGAAGATAAAATTGAAAGTACCTGCAGCATCGTCGGCATGCTAACGGAAATTGAAAATATTGCCGCTAAAGCTAAGGAAAAGGTTTCAAACAGTTGTCCTGCACATTCATCTATTCCTACTCAACGGTTGGTTGTTGTATTTTTATTAAATTCACTAAGTTTATTCAATAATTTTTGTAAACTGTGCATATTTATTCCTTATTTTTCAGTATTGCTTCTTTGAATGAAGTTGATAAAAATGTTACAATAAAAGAAGTTCAAGAAAAAAAAACTGAACATATACCAAGTTATGAAGGTATAAATAGAATATTTTTACAAAAAATATCAAAATTATTTGGTTCTATTTTTCAAATTTATTTTTTATCAAGTAGATGACAGTGAGGACATAAATCATCTCAACTCAAAACTGTTAAAACCACCTATGCATCTGATTTCTCCTGATATGGAAGTCAGAGCACCTCGTTTTCAGGTAATTGTAATATTTATTTATACATATTTATTTATTTGATTTCAGGGATAGGCCTCAGACAGATAGAGTTGTCCTCTACTCTCCATAATGAATAGTTGTTTGAAATACAGTAATTAATTTTAAAGTTATGAATAATCAAAAATTAAACAATCAAAGTTCATCTTATAATAAATAAAAATAATAAACTGGGTGAAAAAAAATTAAAGAATACATCACACCAAAAAATTTATTTAGAAAAAAAGCCAGAAAGTAATGTTAAAAAATGACTATATCAAGCAAAGCTTACTTTATTGTTGTCATTCATTTCCTCTATTGACAGAATATGTCTCTTTATACTCCGCATAATATGATACATTTTTTTAATCAACTTTCGTTCTCCAAAAACCAAAGTAGGAAGTTGCCTAAACTCTAGTAAAACAGCTCCCGACCACTTTCTTTTCTTTTAGGCAACCAAGATTAGTGTTGGTGATTATTCCTTAAATGAATAAAAAATAAGTATTATGAGTACTACATTTGCAAGGTACTACAGTGGTTGAAATAAGACACTATATCCATTTTATATTACTGGATTAGGTAAGGTCAGGGGTGCGCAAACTGCACCATCAAACTTTTTAAGGGGGATATATTTTGACGGGTTTTTGAGTACTTGAGAGGAACAAATTTCAACAGGGTTATAAATTCGGAATGAAAAGTTTCAGAATATGGAGCAAGGAGAAAATGTGGAACATACCACAGCAAGTGCAATTGTATATGATCTACGATTTTCCTAATTCTACTTTAAATTTTATAAGTCAAGTTTTATTGACACTATCTTTAAAATATATTTTTTTATCTATATAATTCCTTTTTGCATTTAGTAATATGTTGTGTTGTCATAATCTATTTGTACGAACCCTTTATTCATCTACTAAACTTTTTAAATAAAACAATACTTAATTGAAGAAGATTAGGAAAACTTTGCGGTATTAGGGTTCAGGTCCTCAAATTATAAACCATACAGTTTTGTGTAGAATTTTCGATGCTTGAATTCGGCCATCACTTCTTTCTTAGAGAGTCCGTAAACTAAACCTGTTTGTATGAAAAGGTGAGAAATAAAATATCTTGGGACGAGGAGGGGGTAGGTTCTTGCGCCATCGACCTTAGGGAGGAATTAACACCCTTGGGTAAGTTTAATCAAGATTGGACATCTCTGATGGATTGGTCAGATTGTAAGGATGACACCAGATTAGGTACCTCGGAGAATCATGGATGAGGAAACCTATGTCACCAAAGGGTCGCAAGACCCCGGTTGCGAATGGTTGGATGGTGTGCCCAGCAATGCAAAATCTATCTTTGGTGTTCAAAACCAATGTGCTATAGCAGCCAACAGAAATGATTTGTCGATAATATTGCACAAAATCCACAGTGAGTCATATTTTTAAATGCTCTGATAGAGGTGATAAAGATAAATAATGAACTGTAAACAAAAATATAAACTTGGAATGTATTTATATTAATGTTGTTAGGCTATATTTATACCAGAACTCGTTCAATTATAAAATAATTGTATTTTTTTATTGTTTAAAAATATTTATTCAATAATAGGAATGAAAAACTTTAGTGTTAAAGAGGTATTGTATAGGTAAACCCCATGAAAGTGGGAACATTACTTTTTATTTTTTCTAAAATAAAGTTATACACATCGATATTTTTGTATTGTTATATAGAATAAGATGGTAAAAAGAATCAGCGAAAAGTTTGTTGAAAATTATTTGAAGAATATCTATACATGGAAGTAAGGAGGAGATCCAACAAACTTTAAAACTTGATTTTCATTTGTTAATAATGCACTACTTTCTTTAATGGAATATCCTATTTTTGTTTTTATATATTTGAATTCATTTTTGTTCTAAGAAAATGAAGAAGAATTCAGTTTTTGTTTATAATTTATAAAAGATTATCTTGGGAAAGAGACTATAATACGTATTAATAGAAAAAGGCCTTTTCAGTCTCGATAAATAATAAATTTATTTCAAATTTTCGCCTCTTCAGGCATCTTCAGGGATAATCTGATTTTACATGTAATTCAAAATTTCCATTCGCTATTTAGCAGGGCACCCACATGCACACTTAGTCAAATAACACAATCTTTGATTAAGTGTGCGTGTTAGAGCACTGCTAAATAGCGAATGAAAATTTTGAATTACATGTAAAATCAGATTATCCCTGAAGATACATGAAGAGGCGAAAATTTGGATAAATTTCAAATAAAGTTATTATTTATTGAGACTGAATAAAAAGGCCTTTTTCTACTAAATTATAATTTATGTTTTGTTTTCATTTTTTGTTTTTCTCATACAATAATATTATTTTTAGGATCTTGGAGTGGACATATCCATGACAGGATTCAGTAAGAAACAAGAAAATATTATATGAAATCGAAATGCAGTTTATGAATAATTCTAGAAATTGGTCAATGAAATTAAGATATTTTAAATCCTTATCTTCTCTAATATCTTTTTTAAAATAATTAGTGTAAATAATTAGTGTACATTTTCAAAATGTACAGATATAATCCAATTAAATGCTAAAAGATTATGATTGGTCTTTACATAAAATCAAACACTTGTGGTAGGTTTATCACCCAGTAGTATTGAAGTTTCTTCAATAAGGTTTAAGTCTAGCAAAAAAATTTTAATTTCATTCTTATGTTAAAGTTTTGATGTATTTTTTATTTTTATCGTAAATAGAATCAGTGGAAATAAAAAATATAAATTTTGTTTTATTTATTTTTACTAATATTCTCTATTCTAAAAACAAGATCTAGTTATATAGAGATTAAATTCAAAATATTTGTTCATTCATTTTATTGTAGAGATTATTTTAAATATAATGTATGATTATATGTTCAAACTTAAATTTACTGGCCTACATTTTGGGTGGGATGATTGGTGAAGGACATACTTTTTCATTCATGGATATATATATATATATATATATATATAATGAATTTCTGGAGATTTATTTCTTTCAGATTGGTATACTAAAATAAAATATAAAGTTTTGCATTAGAATTATATTTCTAGCAGTTTGATAATACATTTATTTTAAATATAATGATAACGAGTTTAATTTAATATACACGGTTAACTTAATCTAGATGGTTAGTTTCCCGCTTTGCTAAGTGTGACCTCAGTACTTTTGTTGCGTTTTAATTTTATTTTAGTGTGGTTGATGGCAATCTTATTTTTTGGTGCGTGTGATTGTTTAGAAATATTGTAGTGAAGTGATATCGTGTAGATAGAAGACCATTAAGGATAATGCAGAGTTTTGAGCCGAACGAGCCGAGTACGAATGCGATTTTGGATTATTGTGTAAGTCAATTTCATCTAATGAATATTTTGCTTCATTAAATTACTTATGGTAACAAAATCTTGTACTATTAACTGTTCACTAACAGTTGTTTCTCGATGTATAATGAAAAGCTCTCCTTTTTTTGCCAAGTATTTATCGATTTAAATGATACTGTTGTTATCAGGAGATCATATTACCATATGATCTCATAGTAATAGTACGACATCGTTTTAAAGTACTCTTTAAAGATAGTTTGTTGAACTAGTAGTGCTCAAGTTTTCGTTTTTGAAAACTGTTATTATCAGTCAGTTAAGGTCCTAATGAAATTGGGCTTGTAATCGCTGTTGAGGTAAATTTACAATACCGTATCTGATCAGTTTCACTAATAGCTAACCAATTTAATTTCCGTTTGACTTCAGTATTGAAAACATGTCTTGTTAACTATTCTCTCATCTCAATCGTATTTACTAATGAAATCGTATTTACTAATTTCTCCTAAACTAAAATACATAACATTTTTCCGTGTTAATTTAAAAAAAAAATCTCTAACTAACATGAGAAATTGAGAATATAAATATGTATTTTAGTTTCGAAGACATTAATGCCGTTCATTAATAATTTAATATTATTATTTGTTTGGTTTTGTTCTCTTCTCCTTGATATCATATTTACTTCATTCGCTAGTAGATAGCAAAATTATTTGAACATAAAGATGTGTATCTTATAAATAAATAAAATAAATCATTGATAAATACGATTTAGAATATGCAATAGTTAAAAAGAAATAATTTCAATGCTGAAAGTGGTGATAAAATTACTGATGTGTTGATCTTAATTTGAGAATTTAAGAAATTCTTCTATACTCTTAGAAATTTTTTTATTCTAGAAGTCAATTTATCTATTTTTTTTTATGAGAAAAGCAAGGTGGGGGGGGGGGAGTGGTAGGGTTGTAGCCACTCAGTGTAGTCTCAGCTTCAGAGCGGTGGGCTTCACTACAGTTATTAAAGTTGTTCTTTACAAAAGAAGTCGATTTCATCTCCTAATGAATTACAATTTTGAACTATTTGAGATACGAATGAAAAAGTTTCTTTGCAATTTACGATATGGCACTGATATGTTTTTTGATTAAATAAATACTACCAGTTAAATTAATCTATTTTCAATGTAGGTATTCATAATATTCTGTATAATCTTAAATTAGATGATGTACATGATGACATTTTATTTTCTTAGAAATCCACTTCTTTGAACTTTAGACCTGTCTGTGCAAGTTCGAACATTGCACTTCGCCCTCAGTATTGTTCTATCTACGTGCTGGCCGCGCCATGAGTCGCTTTTGGTAAAACTGGGCGTCTGGCGACTATGTGATCGTTTGGTTTGTTATCCAGGGGCATGACGAGGACGAGATCACAACACCCCCAAATATTATTATTACTATTTAATATTACTATATTAACGTAATATTACTATATTACTAAAGTCATCTGCACAAGATAGGCGTGGCTGAGGATCCTAGATGTAAATTATGTGAACAAGCGGAAATGGATGCAGACCACCTAAACAAAACCGACTTGTCGTGCTTTGACGGATATAAAGAATCAAACATATGTAAATGATTACATACAAAAATCAAAATTATATTGGGCAGCAAGATGTCGGATGATCGAATGACCAATGATTATGGCATAGGAAAAAAAAAAAAAGAAATGTTCTATCTACGTACCGACGCACTACTATTATTAAAGTTATTTGTTTCATAAGGTGTTGATTTCATCTCTTAATGAATTACAATTTTGAACTACAAACCTGAGCTACGAACGAAAAGTGTCTTTGCAATTCAAGATTTGGTACTGATATGATTTTTTTATAAGTAAATGCTGCCAGTTAAATTAATCGACTATTAAAGTACTTTCTAATTATATCCTGTGTAAGTATAAATTACAAGATGAAATTATTTTATTTTCATATAAACGTACTACTATGACTGATCATATAGACTATAGACTATAGATGAATATAGACTCAACATGTCTGTGCAAGTTCGAATATTGCACTTTGGCATCAGTGTAGTCCGGGGACGTACCAATGCACTTCGCAACAATTATTAAGGTTATTCTTTACAAAAAGAGTTAATTTGATCAGGTAATGAATTACGATTTTGAACTATCTGAGAAATAAACTCAACAAGTTCTTTGCAATTTACAATGTGATAACGATATAATTTAAAAAAAAATAAATTATGTCAATTAAATTAATTAATTCTTAAAGTACACATTTATTATATTCTGAGTAATTATAAATTAAAAATCACGTGATGAAATTATTTTATTTCCATTCAAGCACACTACTTTGAACTTTACCTGTCTGTGCCAGGTAGAACATTGCAATTCGCCTTCACAGTTGTTCCATATCCGTACCGATGTAATTGACAACAATTATTAAAGTTATTCCTAAGAAAACATCAAGCATTTCTTTATTGAATAATAATACTATCTGTAACAACTAAAAATAGTAAATATTGATACAGGAATTCATTCGCATCGTGTTCCTAACAAAAGAAGTAAATTTTATTACCTAACGAATTACGATTTTGAGCTATCTGAAGAATGAACGCAGAAGTTTCTTTGTAATTTATAATTCGGTACTGGTATGGGTAATTATTTAGATGAGGACCGGACTTGTTACGCGTGGTTCTAAATCACTTCGGTCACACTTCTTCATGAAACGGCGAAAACAGTCTTTCGGTTATACCCGGATGCATTCGGCCATCCATGAACAAGTGTGACCGAAGTGATTGTGAACCACGCGTTACCCGTGCGTTCCTCATCTAAATAATTACTCTGATATATTTAAAATAAGTAATGATGGAGAAGGATGGTTGAGGTGATCAGTCTGAAATAAAAATTGTTGTGTAGGTTCATCCTAGAAATATTTACAATTCTTTATTGAGAAATATTACAATCTGCCACATTTAAGGACAATATTAATAGTATTAGAAGAGTAACTCATTTACACTCTATGCCCAATAAATACAAAATGCCCAATACAGCAAAATAATAAATAAATAAGCAAAAAGTAAATGTGTATATAAACTAAACTAAACTAGTCAAAATTACTACTTAAGTACACACATGCTTTTATACAAGATATAAATGTAAAGATGGTGTTAATGCTGTACATTAAAATTCAATTAAGTATCTTTAATATTCAAATTATTGTTTTAAAATTGAATATACTAATTTTACAAAATAAGGACCAGTATTAAATATTATTAAATTAAACATTTAAAGAGTGTAAGACAAAGGTCATAAATAGAAACATTTTGTGGAGATTTATTCTTTTATTTTATGGAGGATTTTAAAAACTTTAATGGGGTGTTCGGTGTTCTAAACGGTCGTTTAATCACTTAACGACAGATCTGTCCTTACTTATAAGTCACTTATATAAAATCCACTTATTTGAATAAAAATGGTTTAAATATGATTTTTCTTTAATCCTTCTTACCACCAAAATGGTTCTTTTTTATTACGTATGGTGTTTTTCTACTTGTCACTGTCAATCGACCTATTAGCCTGTCTCTGCGAATTCTTTGCTTGTTTTATTTTTGTGCAATCATTTAAGTGAATATACACTCTAATTGGGTCTTTATAGAAATCAAAATCATTCCTTAATTAAGTTTTTGTAAAATAACTTGTAGTTCGAAATAAAGTGATATGTAATGGTTTATCTTTGACGCACTAAGCGATAATAGTTTTATCGTGTTTCCTACACTGCTGTTCTGTTCGAGGAATTCTTTTTGAAATCGGTATTTGCTCTCCATTGTATACAAAGCAGTTATATCGAGACCAAATATGAACTTCACAAAGGTGTTGTTGTTTCACTCTGGTCTACGGCCGAGAGTTTCGGATGGCGCAAACAGAGACTTGCCCAGGGCCGCAGAATTTAGAGGGCGCCGAATTTCGAAAGAACTTTTTTTAGGTTAAATAAAAAGTTTGTTTTTCCTTTTTGACTTGTTTGACCTTCAGTCCGTCAATATCATGAGGTGATATTAACTCTATTCGTCTTAGAACTTCGGTGCCCCC